AAGGGGAGCGATTCTGGTGGCGTAAGGTTCAAGTTAGTAAAATTAAAAAAAAAAACTTTTTGTTGATGACATATTTTTTCTCCTATTTTTCACTAAATAATTACAATCCTAATATTTGTTCAGAATCAAACCACCCTTAAGGGGAGCGATTCTGTTGGCTTACGGTTATACCATACCATACCATATACCATAGTGTTCTGCTAGGTTTTTACAAATGTATTACAACCCGAGTAATTTTTCACCCCTTAACTACCCCTTGTGAAAAGTCAATAATTGTGTTAGATTAAAATTTACGAAGAAATTTTTTCCTCTTTTCTACTTATAACTGAAATAAAAAAAGTGGTTTGTTAAGTTTTTACTATACTTTGACCATCCTAATAATTTTGCACTTCTAAACTAATCTTATTTAAAAATGTTCCTGCTAGCTCAATATTTGAACCAGCAAAATCAGAAAAAAATTATTTTTTTTAATATCACAGTGTTTTGCTAGGTTTTTGCGAATTTATTTCCACACTAGCAATTATTCACCCCTCAACTGCCTCCTATGGGAAGTCAATAATTCTGTTAAACTTTAAGGTGAAAAATATTCTTTTACAATGTTACTCTTCGCTATTTATAACTGAAATAAAAAAGTGTTTTTTCTAAACTTTGATCAGCCTGATAATATTTTATCCATAAACCAATCTTATTTGGAAATGTTCCCGCTAGCTAGATATTCGAGTCAGCAGAATTAAAAAAAATATATATTTTTAAAATACCAGAGTGTTTTATAAAATAATTTTTATTTTTAATAGGTTTTTACGAAATTTTTACGAAATCTGGGCGTAAATTCCACAGTTTACGCTCTAATTTTCGGGGGCGTAAAGTCGTACTTTTTCATCCGGTATAAAAAAAATGCACGTTTTTGCATTTCAATAGTTGGATATCAACTCAATATAATGCACAGGTTTTTACTATTAAAAATTACTCCAAAACTATTATACTCAGCATAAAAGACACCCAGGGACAGTACAGAGGCACTATATTTGCAATTTATTCAAAAAATTGAATATTAATGAAGAGGGCGGTATCAATCTAATATCCGATTAAGACTGTAGCCCCCACTCCTTGATTGGAAGTACACTTCGCTTAGCTCTGAGTCTATCCAGGTAATAATGAGTTATTCTCTGTCGTAATTCAAATTTAATTTACTACGCAAATAATCTATAACAGCTGTTCTGACCAACCGGTAATTTCCGATTTATTTGAATATACCTACTTAAAATATTTATATCCTAAAATGTTTTCCAATATAAATTCTTTGTGCTATAGGTACACATAATCTTAAAAATATGTTTTGACCAATCGTTAATACTCTTCTTATTTGAATAATATTAAATACCTACCTAAATTATTTTTCAAATTTTCATGTACCTACTGAATACAAATCTTTTAATCTCTTAACAATAGATAGGTACGCACGGTCCCGACCCTTCTTTTCAATTAGTTAAATAATATAATAGACGTAATAAAATTATTTCAATTTGTGTGTTATGTTATTTTGAATGTTTATTACCTGGTAATACCTGGAATGTTAGTTTGAACTACCTGGTAATTTATTCTGTGAAATATAAAAATTCCATTGTATTGACTAAAACTCAACTCGATTTCAGTTATTTTATATTCATAAAGGGTTCAAATTTATAGTTTTTTGGAATAAAGTATTTTCAGGTTGGTAAAAATATAGTAAAAATCTAGGAGAGCACTCTTGTGTTTCAAAAAAAAAGTTTTTTTATTCACCTAGCCTCAATGTGTAGCTTTTTGAATGTTTCCCGTTAACTGAGGCTCAGGGGGTCAAAAATTATAAGGGTGGATCAAATTCAGTAAAAACCTGACAAGCAATTTATAAAATCAGTTAAAAGAAGAATACAGTTAAATTATCGAAATAGATTTTTTATCACCTTAAATTTTAACCTAGCAGAATTATTGATTCCGGATTGGGAGGGTAGTTAAAGGGTAAAAAATTACTAGGATGCTAATATATTAGTACAAATCTAGCACAATACTATCGTATCTCATATGTCCGAAAAAATTTGCTTTGTATTTAACTAGCGTAAATGTTTAGATGGTAGAATTGGTGAGGTTGGATAACATTTAGTAAAAACCAACCAGAGCGGTTTCTTATTTTATTTATAAATAGTATTTAGTAAAATTATGTATTTAGTAAAATTAAGTATGTGTGTGTATGTGTGTGTGTGTGTGTGTGTGTGTGTGTGTGTGTGTGTGTGTGTGTGTGTGTGTGTGTGTGTGTGTGTGTGTGTGTGTGTGTGCGTGTGTGTGTGTGCGTGTGTGTGTGTATGTGTGTGTATGAGAGAGAAATGGCATTAGACAAAAATCTATTTGCCACAGAAAAGAGTAAAATTATAAAACAATACTTTTTCAATAGCAGAATTATTAACTTCCAACAAGGGTTACTATAATATTTCAAAAATACGTTTTTTTCTAATTTCGCTGGTTCGAATATTGAGCTAGCAGACAAGTTTCCGAATAGGTTTATGGGAGCAAAATTATCAGGATGGTCAAAGTTTAGTAAAATCTTAACTAAACACTTTTTTATTTCAGTTATAAGTAGAGGAGAGTAAATTTGAAAAAAAAATTCTCCTTTAATTTTAATCTATCACAATTATTGACTTTTCACAAGGGGTAGTTAAGGGGTGAAAAATTGCTAGGGTGGTAATAAACTCGTAAAAACCTATCAAAACACGTATGTCGTACATATTTATTTTAATTCTGCTAGTTGAAACAGTAAGCCAGCAAAATCGCTCCACTTAAGGATGGTTTGATGGTGAAAAAATATTATGATGGTAATAAATTAGTGAAAAATGGTTGAAAAAATATGTGATCAACAAAAAGTTTATTTTTTGAATTCTGCTCGCTTGAACCTTGAACCAGCAGAATCGCTCCCATTAAGGGTGGTTTGGTGGTGAAAAATTATTAGGGTGGTAATAAATTAGTGAAAAATGGGTGAAAAAATATGCCATCAACAAAAAGTTTTTTTTTTTTGAATTCTGCTAGCTTGAACCTTAAGCCAGCAGAATCGCTCCCCTTAAGGTTGGTTTGGTGGTGAAAAATAATTAAGTTGGTAATAAATTAGTGAAAAATGGGTGAAAAAATATGCCATCAACAAAAAGTTTTTTTTTTGAATTCTGCTAGCTTGAACCTTAAGCCAGCAGAATCGCTCCCCTTAAGGTTGGTTTGGTGGTGAAAAAATATTAAGGTGGTAATAAATTAGTGAAAAATGGGTGAAAAAACATGCCATCAACAAAAAGTTTTTTTTTTTGAATTCTGCTAGCTTGAACCTTAAGCCAGCAGAATCGCTCCCCTTAACGTTGGTTTGGTGGTGAAAAATTATTAGGGTGGTAATAAATTAGTGAAAAATGGGTGAAAAAATATGCCATCAAGAAAAAGTTATTTTTTTTTTGAATTCTGCTAGCTTGAACCTTAAGCCAGCAGAATCGCTCCCATTAAGGGTGGTTTGGTGGTGAAAAATTATTAGAGTGGTAATAAATTAGTGAAAAATGGGTGAAAAAATATGCCATCAACAAAAAGTTTTTTTTTTGAATTCTGCTAGCTTGAACCTTAAGCCAGCAGAATCGCTCCCCTTAAGGTTGGTTTGGTGGTGAAAAATTATTAGGGTGGTAATAAATTAGTGAAAAAATGGGTGAAAAAATATTACGTAGGTTAAATTGGATTCCGCTCATGTGTCCCCGCTAGCTTAAGGGTCCTTAAAAAAAGACTTGCAGAATTGGCTGAGTTCAAAAAATATTACGTACCATCCCGGATCTATAAGAAAGGAACTTTATTCGTTGTGTGCCCTTCATAAAGAAAAATTTAAAAAATACGAAATTGATGAAATTGCCAAAAATCGTGGAATGGCAGTACTTAGATCCTCACCATATCATTGTGAATTAAACCCGATTGAACTGGTATGGGCACAGATAAAGAGTGAAGTTTCAAGAAAAAATACCACTTTTAAAATTCATGATGTTAAACAGTTGTTTTTGGAGGCCGTAAATAATGTAAAACCTGAAAACTGGGAAAAGGCAGTAAATCACACTATTAAAGAAGAGGAAAAAATGTGGAATCTGGACAATATTCCTGATAAAATGATCGTGCCAGTTATTATAAATCTTGGTTCTGAAAGTTCATCTTCTGAATCTGATTTGGATTTGTAAGAAGTAGCTGTAAGTTTTATATTAATATTTTTATTTATCTATTTAACATACCTTAGACGGTTTTAAAAACTCTTTTTCTCTTTTGTAATTTTTAAAAATTAGAAAAAATGTGAATGTTTTAAAACCCTTTTTAATGTAGGCCAGTCAGTTCTAATATAGTGTGTGATAAAAGAGGTCACTTTTGTTTACATACACATAACACTTTATAACACTGAAATAATTCATTTATTTTTTACAATTATTCAAAGTAATTTTTCAATTAATCTTGCACGCCCATGGAGTGGTCGAAGGTACCAGTTAAAATTATGCTAATTACTCTCTCGTTCATAAAAATAAACTATAGTGGCGTAATCGGCACGTGGTACATTATTTTGGTGTTAAAATTCCCAATAATTACCGTTATATCTCCAAATTTTGTGAGTTTTGTTGTCTTTTCACGTCCAGTGTAAAAATTTTCTATTTCTTCTTCCTTCTTATTGGCAGTAGCGTATAACTATCTTTATTAAATTTAGTTTTCAAATGAGCTGCCATCGATTGTAGCAGTATTAACATAAATAATGTTTTTGATGTCCAATACTTTTCAAACTACCTTTTATAACATTGCAAAACCTTATATCGCAAAAACGAGAACAACGAGAAGCCAAATAAGTAATTGGACTTCCTGACAATAATGCCACGCCCTGTATAGAGTTTTCAATATCCTTCCTCCTCCAATCAAAAACGGCATTCTGAAATTTAACGATTTTCATGGAAAAGAAATGAAAAAAAAAATAAAAAAACTTTTTTTTATATAATTTTATTTAATTTATAGTAGGTATTTATGTTAATTTATTATACAGAATATTAATTTATAATATATACAATCCTTATTACTAGTAATACTTGTTTTGACTTACAACTAAAAATATAATCTTAAATTCCTATCTATTATCTGGCTTTTTTACTTCAATCTGTGTGCTAAAGCAGAAAATGAGGGAGTTATCATCGTCGTTGGTAAAAGAAACTTCGAGATCAACAAGGCACTACAAATAAAACGTATTTAAGATTAACGTACTTAAAGTTAAATTTTAACCTAAAATATCTAAGAAAATAAATACACAATTAATATAAAAAAAAATGGTGTAGCAGTTCAGTGGGACTGCCGGTAGAAGTTATAGTTCTATACACGCGTTCGCCGTTACATATTTATAAGGAAGTTAATCTGCACAATTATTACATATGTAAGGCTATAGGTAAGAGAGAGCAGAAAGAGAAAAATAATTAGGTATATAGGTATATGGTGCATCGTTTGTTGTATATAAACATTTGACCTATAATAGGAGTATAGTAAATGAAGGATTGAATCAATATTTTAATGAAAATATATATTTTTATTTTCATATATGTATAAAAGGAGTTGAATTCAAAAAAAAATTTACACATACTCTGCAGTAAAATTCATTGTTTATTTTGTTATTAATATAAAAATGCAATACAATACACCGACATAATTCAATATAATAATACAATACAAATTAAAATGTAATATTCATAACTTATTTACGCATATGATTAATTTACCATGATAATAATATTAATTTTTTTACGCACAACAGGCCGTTAAGGCCTAGGGCTTTTTTTAAAACATAATCCTAATATTAACTAATTACAATTATTTTAAACAAAACTTTAACTTAAATATGTATATACAATATTCTTAACTACTCTGAAGGACCTATTGGACAATATTTCTCCATTCGCTTCTATTTTGTGCTGGAGCGTGCTTCTTTTGGAACCGATTAGTTTTCTGGTTATTACTAGTTTAGGCATTCTGGTTGCTGCCATTCTTTCCACATGTCCCAACCATCGGATTCTTTGTGACTTGACGAACTTGGTAATGTAGGTTCTTTGTATAAAGCCATTTATTCATTGTTGGTTCTTCTCTCTCCACCATCTTCTGCCTTCCGTCCTCCGAATATGCGTCTCAATATTTTACTTTGCCATCTTTGCAGAGTATCCTCTTCCTTCCTATTTTCCAGAGTTTATCTTGTCTAGAAACGTATTTTGAGTTCAGTAGGGCTCTTAAACTACCAAATTTTTTATTCCCTTTTGCTATTCTGGCTTCGAGCTCCCATTTGTTTTTTTTTCCATTTTTATGGAAAATTGCACCCAGGTATTCAAATTTGTCCACCCTTTTAAAACTGTAGCTTTTACCACTTACAGACCTTACACTAAAGTCTTCTTTTTTCCTTCTGTCCCTCCCATGATCATATAATATTTGATAAAAATGACGTAATTTGTTCAGTCACCAATTCAAGGCACATACTCTGTTTGATACACTTTCTGGAAATTCCAATAGTGATTCTATGTGATGGGTGTACTGATAACCTCATCGAAATTTGGGATTAATTGCACAAGAGTAATATGACGATTACACTAAATATTAAAAATGTTTCAAAGTGGTAAAGACGAACCAAATCTATTTGATTTAGAAAAAGTGGTAAGTGATTTAAAAACCTAAGAAGTAAGATGATTAGACGAGTAAAGCAAGGTAGAAGATGAAGAGGAAGAAACCAAAAAGCTATTCAAGACCAAGAAGAACTTGCACAGAAAATAACTTAAGAAGAGAATAAGTATTGGAAAGAGTATGCTAGACATCATAGAGATTTTTTGCTTTTAGTGAAAAATAATTATTAAACCTTGTATAACACAAAATATATTAGGTATAAGCGGCTACATAGACGCATGATACGTGAAATTAAATCTTAATTGTCATTTCCTTTTTATTTCGATTACTCTGTACGATTACAAGAAACCAATTCGGTAAGGAGTTTTGCTTGGTTGAGGAGATATGTCGTGGAATGCAAATTTTAGATTCCCCATGTCTCAAATAACAGCTTTATCAACGTCTGTTTTGCCTTGCAATTCTTAGAAGGCACAGATTAAAGCAAAAAATCTGAAATTGGTTTCGAAAATTAGTTTACGGATTTAAATATCAGATGTCGCTATTTGCGTCCATTCGAAGCCATGTTAGAGTTGCTTCCTCAGACAGAAGAGATTTATTTTCACCTTCAGAGCGACTATGAATTGCCGTTCTGAAGAGGCCTATTAGGCCGAAATACGTATAAGCGGCTACATAGACACACTATACGTGAAATCAAACCTTAACTGTCTTTTCCTTCTACAAAATATATTGTTTAAACTTTTATATTTTATTCCTAGACCTATTTTTTTGTATGCTATAGATTACTTCATGACTTACTTACAAATTAAAAATACTTACTTCTGGATACAAACTTGGAAGGTACATTATCCATGTATAAGACACGCGTTCGTTTTCCACTAGAGGACAAACTGTATTGGTGAGTCCTGTGCAAGCATCCTTCTCGCTTGGATAGTCTAACGTCATCCCCAGTGCTGTTGCTTTATACTTAGGGGTTATAGATGGCACGTACCCAGCTGCAAGTGTAATATTTATTCTTATAATAATAGGATAATATATTGTTATATTAATAACTGTATGTAATTTTTAGGTTTCATACTCATCATCCCCATCGCTTTACTATGGATATCGGTATTATTCGGGGTGAAATGTTCCTCTAGATCACAACATAATTTAAATTTGGAATGATGTAAACCCATATATGGATGTCACAACCACAACTTTATTGTTAGCTTTAACTGCATAAGGCACAGGATGATCTGATTAGATAGAAAACGTTATGCTACTATATAAATTTTGACGATACTTTTTAAATGTTTTAACTATATGTTTTTATACCAAAATACAATTGTGAAGTGTTTTAACTTCTGTATGTATATTGTACATATATTGGAATAAAATTTTGGAACTTATTTTTCTTTAATAAAATATCTATAAAAACATACGTGAGGTAAAGTTGACGTTGAAATTACAAGTGCTACCAGTGTATACTACACAAGGAGACTGTTTGCAAACTTTAGAATCTGATTCTAAATTTACACCAGGTGGTACTATGCCGCCATTTTGACCTGAAACGAAAACGTTATATTTAAATATAATATTATAAAAAAGAATTAACAAAAAGATCGAAAACTTTTACAGGGGTACATCTATATCACAAAATAATAAACAATCAGAATGCCCACTCTGCTTAAAAAAAATAAGTACGCGCATCTCGTTCGCACAGACGGAATCAGCCATGTTTTAAACGGAACCAGTGCTGTTCAGTAAAATTTTATCTGGTGTGCATAGACAAATTAACCCGGTTTAATTTATTTACGGCAACTATCAGACTATATGACTATTTATTCGTACTTTAGTTGAAGTATAGATTAAATTATTTCAAATGTACTAAATTCTTAATTTCTAAAAATTTAAATGACAATTCTGTCATAGCTTGTCAAATTTCTCAATTCGAGTCTATGTTACGGCACAGAATAATAAACAATCAGAATGCCGACTCGCCATGGAAAATTAAGTACGCGCATCTCGTTCGCGCAGACGTTCAGCCATATTTTAAAGGGAACCAGTGTTGTTTATGTGGTGTGCATAGAAAAATTAACCCGGTTTAATTGACTTACGGCAATCATAGACATACTATACAATTATATTAACATTGTTAAATATAATAACATAAATATAATATAATTAAACATAAATATAAACAATTGCATAACCTCACAAATTATATGTCTGTGTTATGTGTTTCCTTCTAAAACATGGCGCGCGTGCTGAAAAACTTCAAACGCGGCATCTGAGAGTGGGCATTTTGATGGTTTATTATTCTGTGGTTTTGGTCTAAAACATGGCATTCGGGTGCTGACAAACTTCAAAGGCGGCATCTGAGAGTGGGCATTCTGATTGTTTATTATTCTATGTCTATAGCTTGGTTTCAATCAAAATAGAAGGCTCATCTTGACAAAATATTCACAGCATAGATTTGTCAATCGTGTTAATTTAAGAAAGATTGTAGGATTATCCCATATCTATCAAATTTTAAAATATATGGATGATACAAATCATATATTTTAGAGTAATCATACCATAGATGTAGACATAATAAATTAGATTAATGTAGAACTGAAGGATAATAAGTGAAGCCGATTTTTAAAGTTAGTTTGATAGGCATATTGGCCGCTAACTGGACACAAATAGGGGGACAAAAAAATGTTAACATTGTTTAAAATTTCACTTGTTTCTCATTATAATTATATCAAGTTTTATTTGAGTAGCTTTAACTGATAAAATCTGATCGAAAAATAATCATTTTACTTATATGAGTGTATTTTTAAATACATTAATATATTACTTCATTTAGATAAATAGCGTGAAGAAGCAAAAAAATATTCTTTAAGGATAAGGAAATAGAAATTACACAGATTCCCGAAGAGTTAAACATTGTGTTGGATGTGTGGATTTATTATTGGACAAATTATTCCCAAACAGAGGTGTTCAGATTATATTCAAAGTTTATTTAAACCACAATTAGATTATTCTTATGCTTCTGTTGTGGTGGTACCACAAAAGACACTTTTCAGGATGTGGAAAACACAGAAAAAGCCTTGTTCTTTGCAACTAGTGACTTCAAAAATGTTTTGTGTGTGAATGCTAAGATAGTCAATGGTATTGTTCTATTGGTAGTAAATAACCTTTCTTCAGGCAATGTTTTCTCTTAATGTACTGAAGGAGTAGACTTCAGTTGTCACCGTACGGAACTCCTTAAGATGGTTAGCCATGAATGCCTTCGGGTTAGACTCTATGCACTGGAAAACAGAAGAAAAAAGTAAATACTACTTCAAAAAGGCATTAACTATACCCTGAATTCAATAGGATTGTCAGGGCAGACATTTTGTAATTCGTTAACACTCGGTGGTAAGCGGCTATATATTTATTTCTTTATTAGCACACAAATCCACTTCTCAATTATCATTTTTGCCGGTTACATCTGTTGGAAGTCCGAACTAGAGAAGGTAGACTCGCCTTGTTGCGAAATTTATTATTTAGTGCCGCTTGCAGCTTATCCGTGCCATTGAGGTATACCCTGAGTGCCAAGAGAGAGACAGGCGAACACCGTTATTTCTTTTCGTAAGTAATATTCTTAATGCAATACGGCAACATTATGAAAACTTCAAGCATCTTTAGGTCTCGATACAAAGTTAAATAAATGCTGAAATAATAATAAACCCATATTAGGGTGTTGTCTAATAAAGATAAACAAAGATAGATGATATAAATTACAGTAATTATGCCAATATTACATGTCTGTGGTTTTCAAAATGAATAAAAAGTTTTAGCAGACAAGGTAAGACCTACAAATTGGTATAAAATAGTCTATTAAATTGTAATAAATTAATAGATGAACAAATAAATAAAACATTACTTACATACCGGTACTCTATTAATTGATGGTTGGAAGAACATGGTTCAAACTATCCTGTATTGTTGAATGGAGCACTTAAGTCTGCTATTGTAATTATTTGACAATAAACGGGAAGTTCTTGAGGAGATAGATTTTATCCAATGAAGTAGAGATCTAGATCAATTAATAGAGTACCGGCATATAAGTAATGTTTTATTTATTTGTTCATTTATTAATTTATTACAATTTAATAGACTATTTTATACCAATTTGTGGGTCTTACCTTGTCTGCTAAAACTTTTTTATTCATTTTGAAAACCACAGACATGTAATATTGGCATAATTACTGTAATTTATATCATCTATCTTTGTTTATCTTTATTAGACAACACCCTAATATGGGTTTATTATTTCAGCATTTATTTAACTTTGTATCGAGAGCTGAAGATGCTTTGCATATTGTAGAAAGCGAAACTAGTCGTCTGGATAGTTAAATTAAATTGATTGTATAGTCTTATTTATTATTTCTTTATCTATATAAAATTAATTATAGTCTGGACAAAATTATATCGGGCACCTCTTGTTTTTTATAATTTTTAACATACTAAATTACATATCATAAAGAGATCGGTGAAGGTCTTTGTTATATTGGATCCTCTACTATTATTTAATAGAACTCGGTGAATCAAACTATTTTTTAACGATAAGAATTTTGCAACCTCATTTATTTTTGTATCTTTTTAAGTGTGTGATGAATATAGGAATTATTATTACACTAAAATATTTTATTTCATACTTATGATTAAACTTTCAGGTGCGGCTATTCTAGGTATTTGAGTTAAAAATGTATTACAAATACCTATGTGATTATTGTTGATGATCTGTATATAATTTCTAGAACAACAGTTATAATTGTTGATTATTTATAATTTCAGTTTATTGGAATTTTATCGAAATCTCTTCTAAGAATAGAGAGTTATTGAAGAGGAGTTTTATGTAGTCCTAATAAAATATAATAAATAGTCCTCATAATAAAAGCAGCTTTATTTTGAGATATACGCATGCGCAGTTTTGCGTCCTTTATTTTTATCGTTTAATAAAATACCGGCCACCTGTATTTAAAATAAATACAGGTGGCCAGTATTTTACAAGTAGTAGTACAAAATTAAATACAAGTAGAAGGTAGATTAAAGGATAATGACTTAGTATTATTAAGTGACAAAGAAGTAGGGGAAGAAATAGTTTTGTGTTTTAATTTATTGATGGCATTGAAACAAGAGTTCCTAATGGCAGTTTTTTTATTTAAAGGGACAGAAAACTGTAGGATAATGATATCTTGCTCAATGGAAAGACTCTGAAGGTCCTTTTCAGAAACCTTTCTCGGGAAGCTCGCATATCTTGTTCAATGGAGAGACTCTGAAGGTCCTTTTCAGAAACCTTTCTCGGGAAGGAGTATACTGCCTACATTATCAAAAACTTTGGAAAGGCGATCGATATTCAGTTACAAACGCATTTAAAAAATAACAACATAATCCCAATAACGCAGTCTGGGTTTGGGTTCAGATATACTGTCTTTCTGCTTTATTAAATAATACAGATGATATTTTTAGAACCTATACCTATGATCAAAACAAAATATTAATTCTAATTCTTCTAGAGACTATTTAGTCAAAAGCTTTTGATACAATTAACCATAATTTGTTATTGTCTATTTTAAAATATATTGGTCTAGAACCGAGAGCAGTTGATTATGAAATCCTATCTTTCTAATAGATGCCTGTAAGCAGTAAAATTTAATCCAAATATTTCTTCATTTCTAGATCTTAATACTGATGTGCCTCAAGCATATTAACATCTAATTTTCCCTCTATATTTGTCCTATTCTCAGCATTATTACGCAGACGATACCTAACTCTATATGTCATTTTATCCAAATAAGTGTGATCAAGCCGTAAATGCAATAAATCATGACCTTCTTCATCTGCAGATTTTTTCTCTCATAAGATCATTATTTAAAATTGAAGAGCAGTTGTGTGCCGCTGGTGCACGTTGGTGTACAAACTGAATCTCGCCCTACTGACATAATATTTTATTGTAAATGAAAATGAATTTGTTTGTTAACAAAGACATTTATCTCCTGTGGGAGTTTTTGTCAGTTCTTCTATTAGGCGCGGCCCCCTGCGATTGGGGATGCTCTCTAGGTATTCTTAGAACCGATACCCAGAGGGAGAAGGGATACCTGCCGTGGATCAAAAACTGACACCTGGCAGTAGGTATAAAATGCACACCCATGAAAATGGAGTTTAATAATTTATTTTTGGGGTCGCTGCCTGGGGATCGCCAGGGCACGTCTGGAGCCGGCCCTGGACTTGAAAGCATGCGGGATTATTATTATTATTATTTGAGACTTAGGTTAAAAAGATCAACTTCCTTTTTGTCAAAGACAACTCAGGAAAGATTTTTAGCTTAGGGTGAAATGAAAAGTGAGAGAATTTTGACCTGTTATAGTTAATGTTAGAATCCAATTAATTTGAATTGTATTTAATAAGATTATTGAGTTTAGATTTAAGTTTATTAAATTTTGTTGAGGTTACATTGTTTAATTTTCCCTGTACATCATTCAAAAGTTGTTTAAGTTATCATATTCTATGGAGTCTAATAAAGAGTCAGAAGAGAAATGTTCAAAGCTATGGAAGAGCTAGGAGTACTAAACCAGTTGGTAAATTTAACAAAACTAACTGTTGAAAGTTGAATGTAGAATACGAATCCAGGCAGAAGCTTTTAAAATAAATAACGGGCTGCGCCAGGGAGGCTCTCTCTCTCTCCTGTATACTGTTCAGTCTGGCTTTGGAATAAGTATAATACGTATATCAAAAATCACAACCACCGGCTCAATGTATAAACAAAACATTTCAAATCCTTGCCTATGCTGATGATATCAATATTGTTGGGAGAATGGAAAACGCTAGATAATAGGCTTAGTTAGCACTAAAAGAATCGCTACAAAAATGGGTTTAATAATAAACACCGACAAAACGAAGTACATGAAAACGTAGTGAACGAATGTGTATATCTGTGATCGCTCGTTAGTACTGAAAATAATATTACTGCGGAAATAAACCGCAGAATTTGTACGGCCAGCAAATGCTATTTTGTGATCAATCTCCTTCTTAAATTTCCTATTATATCGAGACTATATTCACAAATACACATGGGTACAACATACAAGGAATCTAAAATCGATCATTGACTATGTAATAGTCAAACAAAGCACTACCTTAAAAGTGAATGATGTAAGAGTACTTAGAGGACCGACGTGTGGTTCCGACCACTATATGGTTAGGACAAAAATGCTATTTCCTTTTAAATCTAACAAGGACAATAACGTTAATGAGGAACCTGAACAAACAGAAGTGATAACGAACAAACGATATAACTTAAACAGCCTTATCAACGAAAGCACAAGAAACCTATACCAGCACAGATTAGACCAAAAGTTGCTACATAATATAGAAGACCAGTCAGTAGAACAAGTTTACGAAAACATAACGAGTAGCATCAAAGAAGCAGCAGAGGAGGCCATTGGACTAAAAACTAACTCCGCTAGTAAAAAACTTTGGTGGAATCAAAAAATTGAAGAACTAGTACTTCGGAAGAAAAAAGCATACCACAAATGGCTAAACATAAAACAGGAGTTGGATAGAGAAGAATACAAAGTTATTAAAAAAAGAACACGACAACTAGTAAACACAGCTAAACGAGAAATGTGGGACAAAAAATGCATAGAGATAGACACATATATTATGGGAGGTAGAAAATGCTCAGAGACGTGGAAATTCCTGACAAAAGTTAAATCAAATGAAAAAAGAGAAACAAACATACAATTAATAACAACAGAGAACTGGATCCGACATTACGAAAATCTATTAACAGAAAACAGAGAGGAATATAGAGAAATGTCTCCAACTGAAATACACATACAGGGAGAAACGATAAACATCGATGAGAGGACTGTCATAAAAACGATACAACTACTAAAAAATGGTCGAGCTGCAGGTCCGGAGGGAATTCCAGCAGAACTAATCAAATGCGGCACTAACAAACTGTTTGAACGATTACCTGGTGTATAAACCAATATCTAAACGTGCACCAGTCCCGCATGAGTGGAAAGTATCCTTCATATCATCTATACATAAGAAGGGAAGTAAACTGGACTGCTCAAACTATCGAGGTATATCAGTAACCAGTACCTTAAGTCGCCTATATGGAAGGATACTTCGAGACATTATCGAACAAGAATATAAGGAACAAGAAGAAGAGGAACAATCTGGCTTTAGAGCGGGAAGGAGCTGCACCGATAATGTGTTTGTTTTGAAACAAATAATAGAAAAAAGATCAAGTACCAACCAAGAAACCCACCTTATGTTTATAGACCTTCAGAAGGCCTATGATACTGTACCCGCTAAAAAGCTATGGAAAGTTTTGCAGGAAACAAACATTAACCACACAGTAATTAACGCCCTTAAACAGCTTTATGAAGGATCAACGTCGGAATAAAAATTGGAAATAGACTTTCAAAAAAATTTCCTGTAAACAAGGGACTCCGGCAGGGGTGTTGCATATCCCCCACATTGTTTAAAATCTACGTGGCGAAAACACTGTATCAGTGGAAGAGAAATTGCAGAGGAATGGGCATTGACCTGGGAGAAACTTGCATATATACCCTACAGTTTGCAGACGATCAAGTCCTTATAGCCAACGATAAAGAAGACCTGACATATATGGCCAGAAAACTACAGAAAGAATACAAAAAGTGGGGTTTAGAACTCAATACGCAAAAAACAAAATATCTCCCAATAGGCGCAGAACTATCCAACATTCAGATGGACACAACCGAAATTGCATTCTGCACTGAATATACCTACCTAGGAATTGATTTCGACACCACAGGCACAGACAATAGGGAAATTAGAAAACGAATAACCCAGGCCCGTAGAACAATTGGATGCCTTAACGGAGTTCTTTGGAGCTCAGAAATTGGTAAAAGACGAAAATACAATATATATTAATCTCTCATAAAAACCAGCTTAACCTATGGTACAGAGACATGGAGACTAACAGAAAGCAATAAAAGAAAACTCGAAGCAACAGAAATGGATGTATTTAGACGATCACTTCGAATATCTAGGGCAGACAGAATTAGAAACGATGAAATAAGGAATCGGATGGGGGTAGATGGATCACTGGCAACAGACATAGAAAGGAAACAACTTATATGGTATGGCCATGTTCAAAGAATGCCAGAAACAAGACTACCAAAAATCGCCATGAAATGGATACCACCAAATTTATTTATACCAAAGGTATTTCTTATATTAAGGTATTTATTTATATACCAAAGGTATTTCTCTATAAAACAATAATACGCCCAGTCCTAATATATGGTTCAGAGACCAGGACTCTAACATAAACTAATGAAAATATGTTAGGATGTTTCGAAAGAAAAGTACTAAGGCAAATCTATGGAACGGTGAATGACAATGGAGTGTGGAGATGATACAACTTCGAACTTTATAGAATAGGTCAGGAATCAGATATTGTAAAACATATTAAGACGTCTGAGGTGGATAGAGCATGTAATGAGGTTGAAACAAAATGACCCAGCTAGAAAAACGCTCCTTGATAGACCATTGGTCAGAGAAGAAAGAGGAAGACCCAGAACAAGGTTCCTTGATAACATTAATGAAGACATGAGAAATATGGAAATACTTGCTTGGCGGAGAAAGGCGATCGATAGGGACGACTGAAGAGAACTTCTTGAGGAGGCTAGGATCCACGCAAGATTAGAAAGCTAGAATGATGATGATGATGACAGGCGAAGGGGCCTAATACAAGAAGAAGAAAATTTGTTTGCATAAAGAAGCTCAAAAAATCAACATAGGCTAAGATGCAGAACTGCAGTAAAATCGTTTGAGATGAATCATAGATCTTCGTAGATAGATATAAGATTGAAACATACTTTAATAAATTATAAGCAAAATTTTTACTAAGTACTTCAATAATACTTACATTTACTCACAACGGTCGAATCGACAAAGCTTATAAGTATAACTACAAAACTTATAATAAAAAAGTGTTGCATTTTCTTTGTTATTACTGTTGGATAAACTAGGAAATAGAGTGAAAACCTAATTTTATATAGGTATTTAAAATATGCAGATAGCATCAGGCGATCATAATCTATAGCAAAAACAGATAAGGTGACTATTTTTCAAGTAATCTTACGGTATAATGTTATTTTTTTGATAAAGGGTTCTCAAAAACATAATTCTATCCTGTACTTGAGTGTAGCTCAAAACTATGAAGATTTGTTGTCGATTAATATGATAAGTGTGTATATGTTTATAGCTGTAAATATTACAAGCAAATGTACAGTAGGGTGGAGCGAAAAAATCGATATTTTTTTTGACATGTAATACTGCAAAAAGTTGACCCTACCTATAGTATACTTGCTGCTAAAATTTCAGTAGAAAATAAAAATATCTTCAGGGCTCTACCGCGCATCAAAAAAAGAAAAAAATCAAGAAAAATCGATTTTATTTATTTTTTACTTTTAATAAATAAAAGAAGCTGCTTTTATCAATGTTAATTATTTTCTATTATTTTAGTTAAAAATAATGTTATTAAAGCTCTATCTGTCACCCAAGTAAATATTTTGAGCAATATTTTTGGAAATAAAACAGATCAAAAATCTCATCAAATAATGTTCAATATTCATCTTACAGTTAATTTTTATTAAATAAAGCTACGCCACTAGTAAAGGCTTTCCGTGAAATAATCTTTTCCTGTAAAACGCGTTTTTGGCCTGTTGCTAGATCAGTTCGACAAAGTAAGTAAGACGAAGTTAGCTCAATCTTTAGTCCCACTGTGATAGCCGTAGACATAAGATCGTTATTGTAATAATTAATCGGTACGTAATGAGTTTGCCAGTGAACGACACTATGGGCACTACTAATTGTCCTATATTTGGTGCACCTGCGAATATACCTTATAATGTTTTGCCAACTATAGAAGATGTTATGAAGCGATATCTACTTATTAGAAATGAACTAAAACGTATGGATTCCGGCAAGGATCCTAGTATTCTAGTTATTTCTCAATTAGTTAGCAGTGAAATCGAAGCCATCTGGGAAAAAGCCTCAGTTCCCACTGTATCAAGCAATCGTATTATTCGATTAATTCGTGATATCCTGAGTAAGTACCAAACTCTCATCAGATATCCAAAACAAAAACGTAATGAGACTTATAATTTAAGAGTAAAAAAGCTCAGGCAGAAAGGATAAAACTCTGTGCCAAGAAAAGGTTGGAGATAAACTTAATTGCAAGATAAAAACCGAAGAATACTTTCGTTACTTGAAGAACCAGGTTTTAAATATCTAAATAACATTACTCCAACGTCAGGTACAGGAAGACATATTGCCACATCTATACTAATTTTTTTGAAGAATCCGGTATTGGCACAGGTAATCTTTTAGTAGTAGGCTGCGACGGTATAGCAGTCAAAACTGGGAGGAAGAATGGAGTTTTACGGTTTTTAGAGACAGAACTGAAACGTCCTCTGCAGTGGTCAATTTGTCTGTTACACATGAATGAATTGTTCCTCCGGCATATCTTTCAATCTCTCGATGGAGAAACTTTGGGACCTCGTAAATACTCTGGCAAAATGGGTAAACTATTTGAGTCTTGCAAAAATTTGCCAGTAATCCATTTTGTTCCTATTCATACCACTCTACCACAATTAGATGCTGCAGTTATGAGGGACCTTAGCAGTGATCTAAAGTAGTTATACGAAATTTGTCATTCGGTTTCTAGTGGAAAGTGCTCGATAGATTTAGCAACTCGTAATCCGGGTAAATTATCACATGCACGATGGGTTACAAAGGCAAATCATATATTGCGTGTTTACGTCGGAAGTGAAAATCTGTCTTTGGTTTTAAGATCTTTGGCTGAATTTGTGGTAAAAGTTTATGCGCCAGTGTGATTTAATATTAAAACTAAGCCATCGTGTAGTGAAGGAGCAATACACGTCTTTAAAATGATTCAATTGTCACGCTACCTGAGGAACGAGTTCAAAGCCGTCATTGATCCTGTTATCAAAAGAAATTCGTATTTTTGTCATCCGGAGAACCTTCTCCTAGCAATGCTTTTTGATGACCGTCCTTCCATAAGACAACTTGCCTTACGCAGAATGTTGAAGACGCGCACAAAAATACCTACTGTGGACACGAATGTAAGATAATTTTTAATTCCTGATTTAAATTTCAATGCTAGTGAATATTATGAACTTATTGATTGGCAAAATTGCTGTTACAATTCCTCCCCTTTTATCTACTACAACTGATGAGGATATTAGAAAATGGTGAAGAAATTTTTCCAACTAATTTTTTGTCATTTTCTTGTCATACTCAAGCAGTAGAAAGATGTGTGAAGATTGTAACAGAAGCTTCCAATTCTGTCCTCGACTATGACTCCAGAGATGGATTTGTTCGAGCAAGGATTCATTCAAGAGCCATATTACCTCGATTTAACACTGAGGCGCAATACAGTGCATACATTTTTTAGGAATTTAAAGACAAGTAGCAGTTTAATTTCCATTTAATCATCTAGATAATAATATTTGGTTGAACTTTTTTTTTAAAGAGAACCTGTTTATTTAGTAAACGGTTTGTTTTCTATATTAGAGATTTTTATTGTTTTCTATATTAAAAGTTTTTATAAAATAAGGGATTTGTATTTTCTGTGTTTTTAAATGTAGAAGACTTTTTGAAACTATAAAAGTTGGTAAAAAGCCTAATAGTCATTAATATATTTAGCTTCCGCGCTGTTACATTAGAAAAAAAAAATTTATTATTTTTTTTGTTTCTCCCTGTACAACCCTGAAGATTAAATAGTAGAAAAAAATTTAAAAAAAAACACGGTACTCCTCTATGCAGTAAGTAACTTATCCGCGCTATTACATTAAACAAAATTTTATTATTTTTTGTTTTGTTTTACCCTGTAGAATCCTGAAGATGAAATGGTAGAAAAAAATAAATAAAAAACATGGTACTCCTCTATGCAGTAAGCAACTTTTCCGCGCTATTACATTTCGAATAAAAAATAAAAAAAAATTCTTCATGTTTCACTCCACCCTAGTGTACAGACAAATTTTTACAAACCAAAATAATTTTTTATCGATATTAAAAAGAACCATCGGTTTCGGGGCTTACAATATATTGTCCATCATCAGACCCAGTATGAATTCTTTCCTTAATGAATCTCCAGACAGCAAAAAATCAACCATGCAAGACGGTCATAAAAGGGCTGCCTCAAATGAGGACCTTAAAGAAATAAGGAATTGGAAGAAACGGACATTTATCCAATCAACGTCAAAAGCACGAAATCCGGGTTTCAAAAAAGTGTCAAACTCATACATATAGTTTTAAGTTAAACCCCATCCCCAGGGCACTGTTCCGACACTGTTATAAATTTTAAGGGTTCAAAATAAAGATAGCATAAAAATTTCGGTGCCCAATCAAACAATAGTCGAGCATTTTACAAATCAGTGTCAAACGAAAAGAAAGGCTTCAGACCTAGATGCGTGTCTGTACTCAGAAAAAATGATGAATTAATAATAAATGAAAAAGAACTATTCCAAACATAGCAAGAATATTCCAAGGCTTTACTAAACATACATCAAGAGAAAGGACGTGGAGAAAATATATATTTTGAGGTGGACCTACCGGTAGAGGACACCAAAATAGATAAAACATTGCAAGCAATTAACAAATTGAAGAATGGAAAAGCTCCAGCTCTGACATATACTGGTTGAATTCCTTAAGTACGGAGGAGGACTCTACATAAACAGATACACAAACTAGTGACACTTATATGGAACGAAGAGAAAATACCAATAAAATGGCACGAAAGTGTAATAATCCCCGTCCACAAAAAGGGAGACAAAACCAAGTGCTCTAATTAAAGAGGCATTTTCCTACTTAATACGGCATATAAAATCTTATCGAACATCCTATTAAGTAGGCTGACACCGTTTGTAGAAAATTTCATAGGGGAATATCAAGCCGGCTTCAGAAAACATAAATCGACCATAGATCAGATCTTTACTCTAAGACAACTGCTTGAAAAAAGATGGAAATTCAATAGAACTATCCATGATCTCTTCATAGATTTCCGACAAGTGTACGACAGTATTAAAAGGGATTAGATGTGGACTGCAATGGCAGACCAATCAGTTCCAAAAAAACTTATCCAGCTTGTCAAGTTATAGGTGAATAGCTGTAGATCCAGAGTAAGGATAGGTAATAAACTCTCTAAACTCTAATAATAGTAAGAGCAGCACAACTTAAAACAGAATTACTGACAGTAAATGGATCAAAATTACTACTAGCATACGCAGATGACATTGGCATTGTGGGAAACACAGTCACCAATGTGAAAGACACCAGACAAAGGGGACGAGATAGAATAGGGCAAAATATTACAATAGACCCATATAACTTTGAAAGAGTGGAGAGTTTTAAATATCTCGGAGCAACAATCAATGCAGATAACAATATCGTGGAAGAGATTAAAGGAAGAATTCAGGCAGCAAACAGATGTATGTACAGCTTCCACAATACTATTAAATCTAAAAGCCTAACACGAACATCAAAGATTAGAATATATAAAACGGTGATTAGACCGGTGCTCATGTATGGGTGTGAGACGTGGACCCTGACCAAAGAAACTGAAAGAAAACTTAGATGTTTTGAGAAGAAAATCCTCAGAAGAATTTTTGGGCCTTATCGCTACATTAATAGCAACCAATACCGAATGAGAACAAATACTGAGGTCAAGCAGATGTATAGAGCGAGACGTCTAAGATGGGCTGGCCACCTCCATAGACTCTCTAATAACCGCCTTGCCAAGTTAATATGGGAAGAAAGGCCCTTAGAATGTCCACGAATGCGATGGAGAGACAATATATGGTAAGATCTAAGAACAATGGGGCTACCCACTGACTCAACTTATGGACGACCGTTCAAGATGGAAGCAAGTTGTGAAGTCAGCCAAGACCCACCCCGAGTTGTAGTGCTACGAGAAGAAGGAAGAAGAATACTTTGGTAGAAAAGGACAGAAAAAAAGGCCAAAAAAGTAGGTATTTTGTATTCTTAGTAGAGGTGGTATCTAAAATGGCTAAATATTAAAACATTATTAAAAGTAAAGTCTGTTGAAACATTATTAAAGATATGATTAAATTAATGAACTCCAAGAATCCTGAAATAATACGAAATTATTTATTAAATACCGCTTTAAATTAAAATTACCATTGTTTTACGTTCAATCTTATTTATTAATATATTTGAAGGATAATATTATTTTTTAATTTAATTATCAAAGCAATTTCATAAATGAAATGATAAAATATATGCGATAACCAATTTAATGAAAGATATCATTATCTTAATATAGTAATGAAGTCTAAATATAAATAACTTTAAATAAAGTTTACATCTGACAACTTTTGATAGTAAACAAGTAAATGCGTTTAAAGTAGGCCGACCCCCCCTAAAACCATTGTGTTTCTCAACAGCTATATTTTTATAATAGCAATTCAAGTAGTTCCACATGAGACTATTCAAAATCTTAGGGATTAATGATACTATGAACATTCTACGATAATTTTTTACATCATTTCATATCGATAAAATGATTTAATTGTTCCTCATATCGATTCAAAAACTGCAGAGATGCTGAAATATGGTGGAAAAGTGGTAATTAATACTCTACATTCCCTTTTTAACAAGATATTAAAAGAAAAAAGAATCCCAAACAACTGGAAAGAATCAGTAACCATTATCCTACACAAGAAGGGGGATAAAGCAGATATAAAAAACTACCGTCCTATAACACTCCTCAATGTAATGTATAAACTCCTAACAACAATTTTAACCAATAGATTGACGACAAAATTCGATGGATACCAGTCGAAAGAACAAGCTGGTTTTAGAAAGGGATTCAGCACAAGTGACCATTTACTAAGTATGAAAATACTTATAGAATGGCAAATGAATACCACATTCCTCTATATATGGCGTTCATAGATTTCGAAAAGGCTTTCGACAGTGTCGAACATTAAGCAGTGAAAAGTTCTTTGATTAACAGCCGAATTGACCACAGATATACGGAACCAATAACCATATATATATAAGGAAGCCAAAACAACAATTAAAGTATATGAAGGAACAAAATCATTACAAATAAGTAGAGGCGTGAGACTTTTCAATCAGGCTCTTGAAGATACTTTTAAAAGATTAGAATGGGGAAAAAAAGGTATAAAAATTTGTGTACAACGCTTGAACCATCTAAGGTACGATGATGACATCGTATTGATAACCGATAAAAAAGAAGAAATATTTGAAATGATGAAAGAACTGGACGTAGAAGCTGGAAAGATAGGCCTTAGTATGAATTACAGCAAGACCAAAACTATAACAAATACAGATGAAGACATCACAATGAGAATCGGACAAGATGAAATAGAACAAGTTAAGGATTATATATATCTTGGTCAAACTATAAAACTTAACAAAGAGAACCAAACAGCAGAGATCAAGAGACGAGTTAGACTGGCATGGGCAACATTTGGCAAACTAAGCTACATTCTTAAAAACAAAAGATATCCACAGCATCTTAAGACCAACGTATATAATCAATGCGTACTCCCTGTTCTTACTTATGGTTCCCAAACGTGGACATCTACAAAAGCAAACATGGACAAAATCATAAAAACCCAAAGAGCAATGGAAAGACAAATGTTGCACATAAGACTAATGAAAAAGAAGAGAAACGAGTGGATAAGAGAGAAAACAAAAGTGAGGGATGTTAGACAAGAAGTTGCAAAATTGAAATGGAGATTTGCCGGACACAATATAAGACAAAAAGAAGTCCGATGGAACAAAATTCTTAAAAGTTGGAGACCGTGGGAATATAAACAAAGCAGAGGAAGGCCCCAAATGAGATGGGCGGATGATATCAAGAAGCACGTGGACTCTAGATGGATGACTGTAGCGACAGACAGAGAAGAATGGAAAAGGATTGGGGAGGCCTATGTCCAAAGATGGACCGAAGAAGGCTAATTAGATAGATAGAGATAGATCGATTCAAAATTGAGGCTGTCTCAGGATAATTCCTTCTCCATCCTTACAGCTCCCTATTCTTGGCTTAAACTCTTTACTCAGTTAGTTTACATTTATGTAGAACTATTTGGAGTTTCGTTTTGATTTCCTAGCCATTTTACGTTTTCTAACAGCTTTTCTTCAAATTGACTTTTGTGTTCGATTTGTTTTTTTTTTCTTCCCTTCTTACGGTCCGGTATTCCTCCTTTGCTCTTCTTGTGCATCTAGCTTGATTGTTCTTTAGGTATGCTCTCTTTTTGTTTTCTGTCGCTTCTTGGCACTCCTCGTCAAACCATTCATTTTGTCTAACTGGTTTGATATTCCACAATATTTCTGATGCCTTCTCAGTTATTATATTTCTAGATTTTGTCCAAAGTTCCTCAAAATTTTTCCCGCTTCCAGGCTCTCTATTTCCTCATCCAGTTGTCCTCTCTCGCAACGGTTTCAATGCTGTCTTGTTCCATATGTTTATCCTACTTTAGGTTTGATATTCATCCTCTGAATTTTGTCATTATAAGAAAGTGGTTACTATCTATGTTTGGACCTCGGTAACTTCTGACATCCATGAGGTCGAAAGAATGCTTTGCTTCTATTATCTATCTATCTCCAGTAATTGCAAATATCTTTATAGAAGACTTTCAGACCAGAGCACTATTTACATCAATGCTCAAACCCACATGTTGACTACGATATGTTGACGATACATTCGTTATTTGGCCCTATGGCAGCGATGCTTTGGTGTCTTTTCAAACCCATCTGAAGGGTATACATCCTAGTGTCAAAACGATGAAGGTGGAAACTGATTCATCCCATTTCTTGACGTGATCATAAAAAAACAATACAAAGGTTTTCATCACTCTTTTTATCGAAAACCCACCCATACCAATCGTTACTTGCATGCCAACTCTCATCATCCATTTTTCACAAATTAATTCAGTCATTAATAGCCTTGTTTCCAGATCAATACGCCTTTGCGATGTTACAAGTAGACCCGCTGAGCTCTCTTGTTTAAAACAAGTCATCGTCCAAAACAGTTACCGCCAAAATCACATCAACAGGAGCATCCACAGACATTAATCTCAACCCAAAAACCCCAGACCCTCATCATATGAAAGCTTTTCTTCCTTACATCAAAATGTACTCGACAAAACTCTTAAATCAAGAGGAATAAAGCCAAAATTTTTGGTATAAGGACTACTGGTGTCCTAAGGCTGTTACTTAAACATGTAATGCTTTTAAATCAATGTCAGAGATTTTCTCCTTCATGTCACGTAAATTTCCTTTTTTTGCTTATCAAATGACATTTTCAGTACACAAAAAGGATATAAAGGATAAAATCGTTATAGAACATTGTATTGAAATACGACGGTCTTTATTGGGTTCTAGTTCTGTTCACCCTAGACTATGTGTTGTGTGCCAAATTGAACCCTGGCTGTTTTTGGCTGATACAGAAGACATGTTGCCACTTTTTTGTTCACTCCATGCTCGGGTCTATGCGGTCGTAAGATTGAACTATTCGGAAGCCAATGAGCGGGAGTGGATTTGGCAACACAAGCCATCATTCTCATTGTCTTGTTTAATTAGATATCTATTTTTTGTACCTGTGGGCTGTTAAACCACAACTGAGGAACAGTATTCCGCTGACGAGAACACTGGATGATCGCAGGGCTGGATGCTGATGCTTCCCATGTTGTGCCGCACAACTTCTGTATTTCAGTTTTTTCCGTTATTTTTATCAGATACTCTTTGAAGGATAAGGTTCTATCGAGCGTTTTATTGTAGGAGAGTGTGGTATTTTCGAATAGTATATTATGCATTACTGGGAAATGAGAGGTATGATAAATAAAACATAAATATTTAACACAGTTAAAATACTTTAGAATATATTAAATTATTTAAGTCATAATGCACATTAACAAATATTTAAGAAGTTTTGCTTATTCTAAAAAGGTCACTCTTTAGCTTTTAATTGATTAAGAATTTGATCAGACACTACTTTCGTTGCTTTATCCGCGTTTGGTATAAGAAACCTATCCATGTCCGATATTTTCAAATTCTCACCATCCGGTACGCCATACTTGAAGGTGATTAATTCGGGATGGCGTTTCCTAGCGGTAATTTTCACTATTGCCGACAAAGGCCGTTTTACGATGACTTCTGCAGCACCTTTAATATTCGGGATTTCTCTTAGTACGATTAATTCGGTTCTGGTAACAATCAGATGACTCTTATACATAAATCCATTCAGTTTTACTTCCTGGCACGGGAAGTGTTCGATGACGTCCGATTGTTTTAGGTAGGCCTGAATTTGCACCAGTTCTTGTTTGTCTTCAGGGCCAACGTACTGAAATAATAAATAATATTAATTCCTTATCGATAATCGATTGTATTAGATTTAATATGTCGAAAATTTTATTTATAACAAAGAAAGTAGGGGCATCAATAAAAAATACGAATTCAAGTAGCAATGCGTCTAGTCTAAACCAGTGATTCGCAAAGTGTGCGCCACGGTCCCGTTTAAGGGGCGACGAAATATTTAATTAAACATTTCGGCAATATTCTTGGAATTTCCAATTCTCAATATTGTTCTCTCGAGTAGACACCAGCCTACCACAACAAGGAAAAAGAAGAGATCAAGTAATCGTAAATCGTCTTCGAATCGGCCTTAGTTTCAGTCCCCAATTTTCTACCCCTTGTATTAATACCCCATGTAGTAGGCAAAATAAATTCGTTACACACTCATCACCAAGATATCTATTTTAGTCTTACCATCTTAGCTTCAGTGTCTAGTTTAATAGTTAGTTTAATAAAAATGTAGCTGACATAATTTTGAACATAATTTTGACATTTGGTATAATGAACCAATCTCTCAGAAACAACGCTTCTGGCGATTTTGAATGTCAGTTACGCGCTCAAAATCGATAATTTTATATAAAATTTGTATCAACAAAAAATTCGATATCTTTTGATCAAAGTATTCTATTGACAAAAATCAAAATGCGTTTTTAAGGTGAAGAGTGCAGCTTTCATATACATTTTTTGTATTTTGTCGAAAATGAAGTCAGTTTTTATAAAGATGTTAAATAAATAAACGTTGCGCGATTTTTGTCATTTTTTATGACTCTCTTGAGATCTATAAAATTTATCACTTTCATTAACCGGTCACTATGAAATTTCCATTGCCTAATGAAGAGATTTTAATCTTTAAAACTTGAGCATGAAATTTTGGTTTTGAGTTTTGGCAATAAATGTAAGGCATTTGAAATATGAGTAAAAACCGCTAAATGTCATAACTTCAGCTACAAATTTCACCCAATTCTGCCTTCGTGAATGTATTTCCCGTGACGTGTGCACGTTTGTACTTTAAAAGGTTAAATTCTGCGTTTTAGGCATATTTCAAATGCCTCATACTCGTTGCTATAACTCCAAATCGTGATTTCATGTTGTAGGTTTTAAAGATTAGGAAATTCTGATTAGACAATAGAAATTCCACTAACACCGGTCAAAGAAAGTAATAAATTTTATTAATCTCATGGCAATCGAAAAAAAAGGTAAAAATTGCGTTTATTTAGTAAACACTTTATTATAAAAACCCACTTCATTTGTGGCAAAATACAAAAATTGCATACTAAAGTTGCACTCTTTATCTTAAAAACGTATTTTGATTTTTGGCGATAGGACACTCAGATATATAGAATTTGGCGATCGTAACTGACATTAAAATAACCGATCTTTTTGAGACTGTAGTCACCCTGGCTCTTTCCCTAATCAAGTCGTTTCTGATCCTGTTCCTTCTAGTCTTGCCCAACATCCACTGTAAAATTTTCATTTCAGCTATCTCCTTACTTTCCTGAATCTTCTTTACAGGCCACACTTCACCGCCGGACACCAACGCTGTTCCCGCCACACTTTTGTATATCTTTTCTTTCGGCCCTTTGCGATTTTTCGATCACAAAGTTCATCGCTCGCACTCTTTCAATTAAACCTACCAGCCTGTATGGCTGTGGCAATTTCTAGATCTAGTGTCCCATTAGCCAAGGTATTTAAATCTCCTACTAATCCTAGTTTTTTTTTTCAAGAAATTCTGTGTCCCCAACAATCTCTCTTCCTCCCAACCATATATACTCCCTTTTCGACTTGCCAACCTTAAGTCCTCCCTATTCAATACCCCGTCTCCAACACTCCAACTTCTGCTCCAACATTTCTTTGCTCTCCTCTGCTAACACGAACCAATAACAAGAAATACCATTTATACATTTACTAATATCTACAAAAGAAGACCTTACTAGAACGCTATTAGAAATGCAGTAATTGTAACTGGTAAACTATCTTCTTTTGGAAAAATTTTGATTTTCCATCTAAATCATATTTTCAAAAAATATGATTTAGATGGAAAATAGTGGAAGACAACAGAAACATGTTACACCATATTCGAAGTTGAGCAAAGCAAGTTTAAATATTAACATTAAATATTTTAACCAGATTAGGTGAATCTGATGAAAACAATAAAATACTAACAAACCATAGCAAGTAAAATATTCCGGTACACATTTTTAAAGATGTTTATGAAGGAGCTACATCTAATTTTAAGTGTAGACGACACTAATAAAATTGAGTAGTCGTGATAAAAGCAAAGAGAATTATTATAAATACAAAAAATCATTATCTTACTTCATTTGCTACGTTATCGTGATCATCATCAATACTAAACACTGGTGCAACATCCCTGTACCTCTTGCCTATTTTATCAGTACTAGACACATGCCTCTCGGGCACTGGACTTCCATTGGGGTTAACAATATAATCTATCAGCCTCCCTTTTACCTCCGCAGATTTTGATTTCATGGCTGCTGAAATTTTACCAAAGAGATCATTCGACTGCGATGGTTTCTGACTAGACTGCAGCATTTTTGAAGCGTATGTAGGAGCACACACGATGCAGCTCTTGGGGTTGTGATCTTGAAGAAAATCGTCGACGTTGTCTGAGAAATAATTGTGTACAGCTATATAGCCACCCATCAGTAGCGAGACATATTGTGTATGCTTTTGAAGAAACGACGCAACTACCATATGTGTGTATTGGTCTTCTTCGTTTCTGCCAGAACCCAGGAAACACAAATGTTCACCTCCTACAAAATTCAAAAATTCAAGCATGTAATAAATTGTAGCTTTACACTTTTAATATGTATTACAACTAATATGAAATATACAAAGTGGACCAAAAGTTTCTAATTATCTCTTAAATGGATGGTCCGAATTGTACAAAAACAAGGATACACCTATTTTGCAATATGAAGATATGAAATTTGACATTTGTGACGTTGCCACATTTACTATTTTTCATCATCAGTCACTTTAATTGAATCGGTTATTTCGAAAAGGCCATAACTCCAGAAATGTTAATATTACAAGAAACGAAAAAAACGTTTCATTTTGGTATTAATAAGTACAGTCGTAAAGTGGTAAAAATAAGTGGTAAAGTCGCAAAAAGACATAGGTACACTGTAAAAAATCATTTAATTTTTGGAGTTGTGGCCCTTTCCAAACAAACACTGATGATTTTATGATTAATAATAGAAAACACCAATATTATTAAGGAAAAAATTTATTAGCTAGCAAAAAAAAACATGTTAAAGGTTAAGAAATAGTCTTTTAGTAATCTTCCTCTGGTAGTTCATCACTATTAGTGGTAAGCCATAAAATCAGCTCATTATAAAAAAAACATTTTGTCTTCTGGCACATATTGTACAAGTTTCTTGATGTTGTCCATTTTTTTTCGAATTAATAGGGATTTTTTCTGTGTAAGCAGACTCTGTTGGCAAACTAGGACAAACTCCAGCTGGTTTTCCCAAGGAAAATTCATTAAACATAAGCCCATCGATAAATGGACATACTTTAACAATTCCCGGTTTTTTGTTGTCATATTCGAACTCATTATATTGAGAAATTTGAAAAGTTGTTTTCTCATGTTTGGTTTTTTTCCCATAGGAGTCAATGCAGAGATGGTTTTCTTATAATGCATGGACCACCATTTTTTGAATTCCAAATTTGTTTCATTTTTTACCAGTTCTATAGAAAAAAAAAGATTTTCTTGACGATTTTTTTATCAATTCGTAATATTCTTCAGGAAGAAAAATTCGGTCCTACTTGCGAATGAGTCTTTTTGGTGTAAAGAAAAATGACGTAAAATGTTTAATTTCTTCATAATTTTCTTTTAAGGATTTCACAGCATTGGAACGAGCAGACCACCTGGTGTCACAAATAAATTTGATACTAAGTATTTGCTCTTACAGAAATTTTTAATGCATTCCACTTGCATAATTAATTATAAAAATAAAAAACATAATTTTTAGGCACTAGGCACATGTTTAGGTTGCCTAGGCCTTAATCCGCCCCTAAACAGGTCATGATAAGTACTGATGGTTGGACCTTTATCAACATGGAAGGTTACATGGCAGTGATGGCCTTTTTCATAACGAAGGACTGGAAATTTTATAAATGTGTTTTAACTATAGCGAACGACATACTGCAAAAAATATAGGACCTACGAATAGAATATCATCATCATCATCATCTTGGTGCTACAGCCCTTAGAGGGCCTCGACCTTCTCAAGCTTTCTACGCCATTCTGTTCTGTCCCTTGCTTGAATTTTCCAGTTGCCGACTCCGATCTTCTCCGCATCTTGTGTTACCCCCATCCATCCACCTCAGCTTTGGTCTACCCCGTCGTCTCATTCCCACAGGTTGCGCTGTTAGAATCTTTTTTATCAACGAATAGAATATATCATTGAAAATACATGCCATTAGTACAGACAACTCAGCAAATGTTAATGACTGACCTCATGGAATCTCAATGTTGTGGGGTTGAAATTACCCAAAAACTAAATAATACTGCACTTCAACTGTGTGGGGTTAAAATCACCCACAAGTCCAAAGAACGCGACACTGCTCGTTCAAATCTTATTTATATATAGAAATTTATGATGCAATACAAGATCTGTCATATTATGGAAAGGTACTCGTGGCGCCAGATGAATCTGGCGATGTTGCCACTATTTTAACAAGCGCTAATGAACGACGTGGGTGATTTTCACCCCACTACCGAGTTGCCGGGTTAAATACAAATCACTAGTCACAAATATTGTACTCTTACTGAACACTAAAAGTACCGAAAGTAACAAGTATAAAGTACCGGGTACTCATACTTAAAGCAACGAATCGTTACAAATATTCAAAAGTACGAAAATTTACATCACTGAGCCTAGTAGGATATAATGTATGTGACATATTTATGTTTGCTGCTGGTTTTAAGAGTTTATACAATTTTTTCCTCAAAGTTGACAATGTTGGTAATTTCTTCTTATGGGTTATTGATTTTGTTTCTAAATTGTTCTTTATTAAATTTAACTTTTTCCCTGTCGTTCCTCATAACCTTAAGAATAGAATAAAATAGAAATAGAATAGAATGGAAAAAATTATTTCTTCCTGGAATTTCGTCGGCAACTGCGGCAAATACATATTATTAAAGTTTCAGCAGCAATGACTTGTTTAAAATTATAGCAATCTGCGATTTTGTTAGTGGTAAAGTTGTATCAAAATAGTAACCTGCCACAATTTAACGCACTTATGAATTAAATTCACGAATAATTAAAATAATCAATCTCAAACCTTAAATTTAGCACAAATATACTTACCAGCATGTGACTTATGTAGTAAGGCCTGCCTTTGTGCACTAAGTAATCCTTGAACAGCAGTCGCAAAAGCACTAGGTTCTGACAACATTAAATTACAATCTAAGTGGAAGGCAGTAGGCAAATGACCAGCATTGTAATGTTCAATAGGTCTACAATCGACTAGAAAGAATCTAACAGCATCAACATTGATTGTTTCATGTGTGGTATTTTCGACTAATTCATGTACTGTAACTGGGAGACATAAAGCTTGTGAAACGATCACAACACTATCACCTTTTCCACTGTAAATACTCTGCATAAGATCATTTCTAAAAGAAACTGGGGTTTTTAGTGCGTAATATTGTGCTAATGTGCAAAAATCAGATACATCATCAGCTTCAAGACCACATGGCATGTTATTAAGACTAGCAATTATTTTATCTCGGTTTTCATCATTCATAGAGATTATTTGATCTCTTGCATTAACTACCATTATAAGCGATAGAAAAAATATGAAAAATGGATCTGACTGTTGGAAATAGAAGTCCCACATATTGATAACCACTTCTAAGTTGCATGTGGCTGCAAAAAGAGATTGAAACCATGAAAGACAATACTGTTCTGGTGTTATTCTTTTTGTATCCAAGAAAGAACATAATTCTGGATCGTGATAAAGTAACAGTAATCTTAAAACATGAAAGGCATGGGCATCGGTTTGACTGCTTTGGGGTACATAAGTATCTATTATTGCTTCGAACAAATTATAAGTTGTAGACTTTGGTGTTTTCAGAGTTAAAATAGGAGCCAACAACTCCAACCAACCATTTTTCTTAACATACTGAATATTTCTGCTTTTGCAATAAAACGTTATAATTGATTCTAAGTCTGAAATAACGGAAAGTCTATCATCCTCTTCGTTTCCTAGTTTTGCTACAAAAGCCGCACAGTCTTCCCTAAGTACAGTTTGATTTGGCAGGTCGAATACTTCATTAAAATGGTCTAACTGGTTCCCTTTGTCCCTCACATCTAAACATATCTGAAACATTTTAAAAATATAATCCTACAACTTTTGATTTTAAAAAAAATATTAGATATTTTGATTGTGTTATGGGGTATGGGGTCTGCTAATACAAATGAAGGATTATTATAGATTTTAATTCAAAGTAGTTGTCCCAAAACATAAACATTTGTGTCTCATTTAGAAAATGGGCGCTTTAAAATCATTAAATCAATTTATTAACGTTATTACCAAGAAATTATTTTCCCGAAAATGAATCCATTGATAGAATTATATTTTGTGTTTGACAAGTATCACATTAAAATTACACTTGACAGTTGGTAAAAAGTATGTCACTGGCCACTAAATGATATTAAACAAATATAACTTATTTGATGTAAGTTATATTATAACAATTATAATTTGTAAATAACAATTTGTAATAACATTAGTTTAAAAATTTTATTTTTATTATTTTTTTTTCAATTATTGGATTTTTCAATTATATTTCTGGATTAACAATGAAAAAACAAGTATTTATGTTCGGAAATGGCTTTATTGCTTTTCAAAATATTTTCCATGAAAATCAATACACCTTTGCATGTGTTTGAACCAATTTTCGAAGCCCTATTTCCACTCAGATTGAGGTAACTCCAAAACATTGGTTATGAACTCTCCATCTGCTTCTTCAAGACTCAAAAATCGATGACCACACAATTTATTTTTGATGTGCAGAAATAAAAATAAGTCATTGGGTGCCAAATGAGGACTTACATTACAACAGATGACCTGTTAATTTGATGTTTTGCCTATTCAAAACTGTTGTGTGTGTTGATCATCGAGCAAAAAGACAAAAGAGGGAATGTAAAGGTAGTAGGGGCAAAAATATTGTTAGACAGGAAGTGTCATCTTGAGAGGCCACATTAAACAAGGAAAGAGAGTCTTTCCTTGTTTAAGAAATCAAATTTAGTTGGGTTTGTTATTGTTTGTCCCAACTGTCACATGAAATCTTATTTATATTGAAGTTTTTTTAACAATTGTGTCACATTTTAGATTGTTATTGTTAATATTTATTTAAAGTTTCTCGTCTAAGACACATTCTGAAAACTATTTTATAGCTACTGTTAATAAGTGTCGAAAAATTTAAATTTGGCGCATTCGCATTTCCGGATATGTCCTGCCACTTTTTTGGTCTCCTTTTCTTAACGATTAGATTCCCTCTTTTGTTTTTTTGCTCGATGGTGCTGATGTGTGTGAGCTTGCATTGTTATGGTGAACAAATGAAGAATGTGTAAATGTTATACACAACAGTTGACGTAACTCAATCTCATTTCTTCAACATTTCCTTAAACCAATTGACACAAGCCTCCTTTTAACCTTTTGTCACAGAACTACCCTCAGGTTATTGTAAATCAAGAAAAAACATTCCTTTACACTTATTCCTAAACTGTCAAAGAATCTGATCACATTAGAATTGACATGGAATAGAAGAAAGAACGAACATCTAAAGCTTCCAAAAATAAATAGAAGGTAATTCTGAAGGATTATTGGGTCAACCCAATGTTCCAAAACTTCAATTCAGAAACTGATTCTAGTAACCTCTAATTTACATCTAGTTTTCATCGTTATTAATAACTTAGTACATTACTTGTATTATTATTATTACAAACAATTATTATTACTAATGTTGTGTTGTGTTTTATCACATTAAGAGTGTAGGCACAAAATTTCGGGCCAATGCTTTTTAAATGTATTCATTTTTTTCGAATCCTGAGAAAACTAATAAGTATTTTTGAAAAATTTAAATGCAGAATGAAAGATTACATTATTACCGAGGGCCGAAAGTGCCTGAAAACTTATATAATGTTTATTTTAGTATGTTCAGGGGTGAAAAAGAAGAGAAAATTAAGTGTGATTTTTAATTTCAAATATCTCATTCAAAAGAAACTTTTTGTTTATTCTAAGGGACTTTCGGCCCTCTGTAAAAATCTAATCTTACATTCTGCATTTAAATTTTTCAAAAATATTTATTAGTTTTCCCAGGGTTTGAAAAAAAAAGAATGCATTTAAAAGGCATTGGCCCAAAATTTTGCACCTAAGCTCTTAAGCCGCAAAAGCATAGACAGGCTCATTTCATGTCAGACCAAATGTTGCTACAGTCACATCACAATATACTGTATGCCAAATTTGTATGCATAATCTGTAACAAAAACATGACATGTGCCAGTCTGGTGTGCATGGGGCTTAGGTGTTAAATTGCGAGTTGAGTACTATACCTAAATATGAAAGAATTTAAAGTTGACCTAGTAATCACTCAAATACAAAATATAAATAGATGATTTAATACATAAGACTGGGATTTTTTACAAAATTTATAAGGAAATGAAAACATTGATCTCACAGGTTAGAGTTTGATTTGTGCCCTATAAATTCATACATGCAAAGCTGGTTTTTGGTAATCCTTTAATTTCCGATAATGATATATTTCAGCATTGTAAATTTTGTAATATTTACCTTGTGATATGATAAATAATGAGTCATATTAGTGTATTAGTTTACCTGCCACACATCAGATCTTAAATTTTCTGGTAGGGCTTTGCCCTTACAAATACAATAAACGTCTGTTGCTGAACATTCCTCTAATAAGGCATTTTCAAGATCACTAATCCTGCAATAAATAAACTATTAGTTCCTAGTATAGACAAACCATATTTAGAAAAATGTCCTATTTACGAAATGTATTTAATCTTATATAATTGGCTTAATAAATACATGTTCATCTAAATGTTCACTTACCAATGACTCTCTTCCATAGGACCAGCCATTGTATCATAATTAAATTATTAATATTTAAGACTTTCTTAATTTATTTACTCTTCTAAAAAAACAACGTGTCAATTATGACAAAAACCTTTACGGTGTGAAGTTTGCAGTTTAAATGCCTTCAAGGATATCTTATTACCAACCTAATGCATATAATCAATTCAGTAAAACTTGGTTATCGGTTATCGGCATAAAGGTAAGGGGCCAGATGAAAATAAATGAATATTCAAGGCACCATAGGCGGTCAAGAAATTATTCTGTGGCTCCTTTTTTGGGATATCCACTTCTTTAGATAAATGAATAAATTGAATAGAAAAGTACTTTAAAAGTGTGTAAAACATTTTACAGATTTTTTCTTTCCAATTCATTGAACTGTGTAGATGAAATAAATTTCAATTGACCTATAACTAAATTTAATTTGAAAACAAAATATACTATACTATTTTAAAATATTTACCTTAAATTTAAAATGTAGATGAAATAAATTTCAATTGACCTATAACTAAATTTAATTTGAAAACAAAATATACTATACTATTTTAAAATATTTACCTTAAATTTAAATAAACATCTATGTTAATTGACCCAAATTAGGATGCCAAATCAACAATTAATATAATTCAGGGAACTATATTTATATTATTTAATGTAGAAATAATTTTTTATTTCGAGGTAAAAAATAAACGCAAAAATAGTAGAGTAAACCATAAAAATAGTATAGCTAAGATATTTTTATATCTGTGATCTGTCTGTTTTTTGATTTTCGAAGAAGCAGATCTCAGTGTGTTAGTTGTGCCCCTATCCCCTATTTTTTCCTAATCTTTTTAGTTTTTATTTTTTTTTCTTTGCGTTACATATGGTATTATTGTTCTCTTTAAATCCCTTCTTTCGAGCATTTCATTGAGATTTCTGTCCAAAACCAAATCCAACAACACACAAAAGCGATCAAAGAACTGCATAATATATATAAAATACCATCTGAATATAACAATTTTTCACTACTCTTTCCACTATTAATTCGGCGTAGGGAAGCAATCTGTTGCACAAAATATTTGACATTATTTTATATGCCATGATAATTAGGCTGATGCCCTAGTTATCACACCATCATGTCTCTTTTTTCTAAAACTCAAGTAAGTCGTTTCATAAAAAAAAGGTTTTTAAAGAGTTTAAGAGGGAGATTATTAGAACCAAGAGATTCTTTGTAAGTTTACAATGGCTTCTCTAATTGCTTCTTTGGTCTCTCTTAACTAACTTAATAAGTTTGGTAGGTATTTTTAACAGATCCATTGCTTTGTATAGTTTTTCTCTATCGATTGAGTCATATGGCTGCTTAAAGTCTATAAACAGAATGTGCAAACCTTAGATTTTGTTCGTAGCTGTTGTGCAATATTTGTTTCGTCGTAAAAATCTGATCAATTGTAAAAGTTTCTCTTCTAAACTCTCTTATACTGTCCTGTTATTTCAGATTCATATTTTGTTAGTCGGTTTCTTATTAATAACGCCAATATGTTATATGTTACATTCAATAAAGCAATTCCTCTATAATTTTGGCTTAGACTTTTATCTCTCTTTTTGTGGATGCGGACATATGGATGCATTTTTCCAAATTCGTTTGAGTAATACTTGTCCCCCTTTCTTAAATATTTTTGCTGTTATACCGTTTTCTCCTATGAAAAAATAGGTTTTCTCCTTATAGAATCTTGTTATTTTTCAGTTTTCAGCTGCTTTATGATTTCCTCTATCTCCTAATCTATGGTTCGTTTATTTCGGCCTCATTATTGCTTTGCTCCGGTCCGGTTTGTGATTGTATTTCATCGAGTTCCTCAAAATATTCTGCCCACAATTCTTCATTTGGTTACAAAAGAGAACCTTTAGAGACTGTCTGTAGCCAATCAGATTCCACATGTGTCCTAGGTTTTTGTAGGGTTTCCTAAACTATATTTATGCTTGAATTTGTAAACAACAAAATCAGTAACATACTTCAGAGTGATTTTTTCTTTCGATGACGATGACAAAATGTCATCGTCAATTATATGACCCTCCTTCAAGTAGTGAGCTTCTATAAATATATTTTGAAGTATGTATTTTGTTCTTTTCAGACTGAGATTCTTTCGAACCTTCAGTTTTTTCTACCAAATTAGAGAACATTTTTTGTGTCAAACAAATACCTTCTGACGCCAAAATATTGCCTGGCAATTTTGAGAACTTTCTATTGAACTGTTACTTACGCAAGATTAACTAGTTTCAATAGTATTGCGAAATTCTGTAAAGATCGGCCGCCGAATGTTTTCCTAAAATATACCACACTAAAATCTATATTTACAATTTATTGGTGAAGGATTATCATTTGCAAAACTCATTCATCGAATATGAGAAAAGAAGTTCTCTAGCATGGCTTGATTTAACCTCGAATTTAAAATGTAGTCAACGTTGTATTTTGCTTGTAGGTAAGGAACAAGTACAGCAGCTTCTTACCAGTAACTATCTTTTGTCATAAGTCAATTTTCTCCCCATAGCTCTTCAATGTCACCTCGGGGGAAATGAAAAGGGTCTAAACGCCTTCTAATGCCTCCGGGTGCTCTGTAGAGGGCTTCGGAAACATCAACGATAGCTCCTCTACTTAAGTCCATTTTCAGGGTATGGACTCGTAAATGTTTTCTTCTAGTATCTTGCCTTGAAAAAGGCAAGATATTTCTTACATGACAAAGGTTAAGTCGAAATAAAACACCAGTTTCAAGTTGAATAACATCTCAGCCACAGAGTATAGGGAAGGCTAAAAGAAAGCAGAGCCCCGAGAGCACTAAGCTCTCGGAGAGCCCGTGAAGGACTGCCTTGATTGAAGCAAGCAATTTGATTGAACCCAGCCTATGAGAAATGTTCACCCAGGTAGTACGATCGGGTGTAACAATTCATTGGAGCAAGCTAGGTGTTTTAATTCGTGTTTAAAAACAGGAATCACCCCACCGTGCTCCAATGCTCTAGACCATCCCTTTCCCCCCTATAGCAATCTGATTCGCTATAGAGGCACAACAATCAGCCAAGTGCTCTTCATGTGGAGGTCCTGGGTAATTGAACCCCAACATGGTTTCCTAACCGTATGTGAAAACTCAGGACAGCGCATCTCCGCTTTATTCCTGTTTATCTTAATGTAGCTTATCCGCGATGCCTTGATTGACCTGAAAATCGCCTATTTTTATACTTTCTGAAGTAGTGATTAGGGATTTCCAGGTCAGGGAGGGGCCAACGGGAAAAATAAGGGGCGGGGCGATGCGTCTCGAACGTGAACTAGTCGCGTCCGAGAACATCAAAGTAATCATTGATGATTATTTTATTGCCAATAACAAAACCATGATCGATTACATGATTTAGGGCAAGTTTAAGCAAATGTGGAGCATCTGCAAAAACAAAAATATTGAAGAACTTATCACAGGGAGATTATTAAAACAATTTTTGTCATATCCAACACTCAGCTGAGACCAAAGAGCAGATTTTACAATACCCACATCACCGGTGATTGCTACTACAATCAAATTTGCTCTAAACAATTCAGATACTATTTGCTCAATAAGATTTTTTAGCATTGGCTGAGCAAATTTATAGTACCTATATTGGTTGTTTCCAGTTTGAAAGCATCATAACAGTTTGTCAAGGTATGTGAGGTCCTATGATCTGTTCATTTTTCTTATCGATCTCGATCTTGTTGGAAATATAAAATATTATAATTTTTACAACTATCTAAGGCACAACCCGGCATGTTTGTCGATGATACACAAAAACTAAACTAAACAATAAGTAAAAACAGAGAACTGTTATTTTTTAATAATTAAAATTTAATAAAGGAATATTAAACTTTAGAAATAAAAGCTTCGACGCCTTTTCTCCTTCGAGCCTGTTTCGATGTGGCGTATAAAGAAGTCCAGTATCCCTAAACAAGCCCTCGCTCGGGACACTCCTTGGTGATATATAATATATAAATATTGCCGTACTACAGGAAAAAGAAGATCGTCCTTCGCTTGTTCACTTTCCACCATGTTAGAGGGTCGACGTCACCTGCCACGCGTTTTTCTTATGAGTATTCTGTGACAGTTTTACGGATTAAAAGATGAATAGGGTTTTGAAAACTAAGAAGAGGCATGGAATCTTCTTCACTATCACTCGTATCCATCAGTAAACTCATCATTTCTTTTAAGGACAGACACGCTTTGCATTCGGGTAAAGTGAATTGGAAGAAATGTCGGTTTAATTGTCTGAGCAAATCCAAAATATGCTCTATGACAAGCTCTTTAGTCGACGTATTTTTAAAAAATGTTGCTTTATATCTTGGGTCAATGAAGGTCGCCCTGGCAAACAGTATTTTATTCTCTAAACCTGAAAACTTGCGAATGAGCTCATCTTTTATGACGGTAATCGTATTACCAATGTGTTCATCGGATGAATCAAGATTTCATGAACAACTTTTTCTAGTGTGGCGATTAAGGGAATTACAGAAGAAATAGAAACATCGATAGGACTTAACTCTCTGGTTACTTCTTCAAATGGTCTTAGTAAACCGATGTTTTTCAACAATCATTCACTCTTCAGAAGCCAGTTGGAGAATTTCATTATTTGCTGAAGCGTACAGACCTAATGACTCTTTGACTTGAAAAATAGGCTCTAACATATAAAAAGTGCTGTTCCACCTAGTAGCATATTCTTGGATAAAGAGGTTTTTAATTAAGCCTTTTTTGGTATTGGTCAGCTCATCTTCTGCAGCAGTTGAATGATGAAAATGAGTTGCCACCTTTTTGCATTTTGTTATGGCCGCCACGACAGATTCTTGAGCTTTTATCCCTGCTTTTAACACGTTTTGAATCTTGTGAGAAGCACAATCAATATGTTCAACATTTAATAAGTTAACACCTTTTTTCATATTAGCACCTACATCGCGAACTACACATTTCACTTTTTCTTTGGGTATTTCCCAAAACGACAAGATGTGTTTAAGTTTGTGAGTAATATTTTAAGCAAAATTGCTGAATTACTAAATTTATCTTTAATCTAACTACACACCTCGCGCAAGTGAGATCGCCGGAGACAATTAAAATTGCCAAATAAAAAAAAAGGAATTTTTGCATTCGCGAATGTCGGTGGCATATATTCGCATTCGAGAATGTTCACAAAATGACATTTGTTACATCACTAGTACTTTCCTCTCAGATGTAAACAGTAGATCCTTTCCGAGATTGGTTTAAAGTCCACTACACTTCCCTTGAGACGTTTCTTTATTAAAAACTCCGTACCCAGCAGTCTATTTGCCCTACCACAACTAAACAAGTTGCTTTATCAACTTCTGATATTCCGGTTTTGTTTCTTGGAGATCAAGAAACTTTAGTTCGTATTGAATAAATAAATCTGATTAGGTTTTTTACTCCTCCCTCTTCATAAATACATCTAATATTTCACGTGGCTATTTTTAGTTGGTTTTCCCTTAATTTCTATTCTTTTTGTTTGCTTCTCTCTATCATTATCTCTTTTGCTTATATTTCCCCCTTTGGTTGTATTGGTTTCTATAGTCGTGTCCTTATTCTTTGCTTTTTCCGTCTTTATTTGTTTACACTGCGGTGCTTCTTTTACTTTTTTGGGTCACATCTATTACTTCTTACTATTCACGGACTGTATTTTTTTGTGTTTGCTCTGTTAGCAGACCCTGAACATAGTTTGTATTTCCTCGCTACGTTATAGGAGTTTACGTTTACCCGTACACAATACATATACACAACATTTGTAATCATTTCTTTTTATCAGTGAAAACGCGCCATCGGGTTCTATTTTGCCCTAAGGCCTTCACCTCATTCCAAGACTTTCCTTGGCCTCTTATCTCGTCCACGATGGATCTTCTCCAAGTTTGTACTGGGCGACCTCTTTTTCTTTTCCCTTGGGGATTCCACTCTAGGGCAGTCTTTGCGATACTGGAACTATTTTTACGGAGTGTGTGAGACCGATCCAACCCCACTTTCTGGACTTAATTTCATTTTGTACCCTCTTTTGTTCGGTCAGGTGTAGCAGATCTTCGTTTCTGATGGTGTTAGGCCAGAATATCTTTTTATCATAAGCTGAAGGGAAAAACTTCAACTGTGCACGATCCAATAAAAGGACAAGGAACTAAATAAAACAAGAACAAGAAATAAACGTTTAGTAATGTAATAAAATGAAGATTTTAAATACCGTTATGAAAATACGTAATACATGATACAAATTAAAGCTGAGATGTGTTCGAAAGTTAAAATAGATCACTGGGAGGTGGCAGATCTTATGTGAATGTGTTAACCTAAAAAGAAAAATATATATATTAATATACATAAAAAGATATTAAATTTTAATAAAATGACCCACATTGGTTTGTTTACAGTGGTTCTCAGCATTTGATATTTTGTCATTTTACTGTCTTATATTTTTCAGCCACAGTATTCATCGCCCGAGACGAGTATGAATATACCCCAAAAGGTACCTTCTGGATGTTTCCTTTTGTGGTATAAAGCTTCCTATATTAATCAGTCAGACACTCTTTTCTACAGAAACTATTTCACTTTACTATCTAGATCTGCATAAACTGATTAAACAAATCGGTTACTTCCGATATATGTATTATAGACTGATACAGAGTAGATACTTTAGTCTGATTACAATTCTTGTTATTTTTAATTTCTCTAAATAAAGAAATCAGTAGGAAGACGCCAGAACTCATGGCTGAAAGACCTAAGGGGATGGTTCGATCGCTCATCCGCAGAAATCTTTCGTGCAGCAGTTTCCAAAACCACAATTGCCATTTGGATTGCCAACCTTCGAAAGGAGACGGCGCCATGAGAAGAAGAAATAAAGAAAAATTTTGAAAAGAATCTACTTGCAATTCATGCCTGCCCTCGAAACATATGATGTTTTTAGCATCTGAGACATTGTGGTTTACAAAAAAGGTTTCTGAAATCGCTGGGCACTTTTATACACTTCATTAAACTGAGCATCATTTTTATCAACTAGAATATTTGTGTTATCATATATATGAAAACATCATCGTCATTTTGGCTTTACAACGCTGCGTGAGTCCTAGCCTCCTCTATCCAGTCGTCCCTATCTATCGCCTTTCTCCGCCATGCACATATTCCTCATGTTTTCATCGATGTAATCAACCAACCTTGTACTGGGTCTTCCTCTTTTTCTCTGACCAATAGGTTTATTAAGGAGCGTTTTAATATATATATTTATATAATAGCTTAATATGTGTTACACTAACAGGTTCCTGGTATATTCTATAAAATTTCCTTCACACTCCATTGTCATTCACTGCTTCATAGATTCGTCTTAGTACGTTTTTCCAAACCTCCTAACATGATTTCACTATTATTTGTTATAATCCGGGTCTCTGAACCATGTTAGGACTGGGCGTACGAGTTTTATTTTTGTATTTCTCGATATAATTATGTATTTAAGGAGGAGATTGTGCCCAAAATAGCATCTGTTGGCTGCACAAATTCTGCGGTAGTATTATTTTCAGTGTCACGGAGCACTCCCAGGTACACAAATTCGTTCACTGCTTCGATGACGTCGTTTTCTACAAGTGGTCGTAGGATTTGTGGTTGCATGCTTTTTTTCATATACTTTCCTTTTGTTGGTGTTTATTATTAAGCCCATTTTTGTAGCTGATTCTTTTAATGCTACATACGACTCTCATACAGCGTTTTACATTCTCCCAACAATATTGATATCATCAGCATAGGCCAGGATTTGCACTGATTTATTATATATTGAACCAGTGGTTGTGATTTATGACATATGTATTACTTTTTCCATAGCTAGATTGAACGGTATACAGGAGAGAGGGTCTACCTGGCGGAGCCCGTTATTTGTTTTAAAAGGTTCAGTTTCCCCTGAATTCAGACTCTACATTCAATTTTTCAAGAGTTAGTTTGTTAAATTTACCAACTGATTTGGTATTCCTAGCTTTTTTATTGCTTTGAACATTTTACTTTTATTCAGAGTCGTAGGCTGCATTGTAGTCTATAAATATGTGATGAGTATCAATGCCATATTCCAGGGGTTTCTCCAACATTTGTTCAGGGTTGCAATCTGATGAATTGTCGATTTACCACCTCTGAAACCTGTCTGGTATTTTCCTATCCGTTCTGCATGTGGTGTCATACAGTGACATAGTACTGTGGAAAATATGTTACATGCTGCATTTAGAAGCGTAATTCCTCTGTGGTTAGAGCATTCAAAAATATCTCCTTTTTGTGTATGGCGCAAAGAAATATGGATTTCTGTGTCCATATTTCTTTTATCAGCTGCTGTGATGCTATTATGGTATCACGGCCACCTTCTTTATATAGTTCCGCTGGGAGATCTTCTATTGCGAATGATTTGTTTTTGGCTAGTTTTTTAACTGCATCTTTAACTTCAAGAATCGTTGATGGTTCCTCTTCCCTCTTGTCTGTTCCCCTTTTCTGTATGAAAACATCTTAAATCAAAAATGTTTTGTAGAAAAAAAAAGTTAAGATATTCCCCAGGCGTGCATTTTTGAATCGGCAGACTAATATAACATTAAATAGGAAAGTTTATGGATGCGAAAATATGTGGCTTAGCGTATCTCCCCTTAAAAAAGTTAACTGTAGTTTATATTTTATGTAATACTTACAATATCATCGATTTTCAAGATCGATCTCACAGTTTCTGTAGCTAAACTCAATGCTGAAGTGCTAACTAAAAGTGGTTGAACAACATTTTCTTCGAGAATATCTGTAATAGCCCCTTTACGAACGTTTATTCCAGCAGACGTTTCCCCTTTGGCATGTCTGTTTCTTAGTTCAGTGACAGTCTAAAACAAATTAATATACAATATTTATAAATATTAATGAGGTGAATTACAATATACATACTAAGGCATAAGTTCCTTTGTGATATATCAGAAAATTAACTTACTACAGCATTAAGTGTAAGCGTCATAGCTGGTAGAGAAACATGATGACTTGAACCTTCATAAAAAATTAGAGAAATAACAGGTACGAATAATAAGAAAAAATTAACCATACTGCTGAATAGAAACGGCAAACTAATTGTAGAAATTAGGAAAAGGCTTAAAAGATGGCAGTAGTATATCCAATAGCTTTTTAAGAATGAAAGAACGGAGATAGTACGATAGACGTTTCAGACAGATTGGAAGCATTTGAATTATGGACTGGGAAGAATATTACGAATAAGTTGGGTCGATAGCATCAAGAACCTCGAGGTGTAGAGAAGAATGAAAAAAGAGAAAAGGTTTTAAATACACTCGCGATCATAAAATTCGGGTCACTTGGAAAATCACCGATATTTAATTTTTAACAAGCTTTATCGGAAATACTAATAACACAAATACAAACGAATGCATGTTTCTGAGAATTGTTGTCGGCTTAGCGGTTTCCTTTGTAACAAAGAATTCAAATAGGGTCGATTTCGCGGAAAACTGCACACTTCCCAAAATAAACGGTACCTGTACCTGCCGCTTGTTTTAAATGTCCCTTTGTGCTTCCACTTGCTGTTCAAACGCAACGAACAAACGTTTATTATTGCCACCATTAGTGTTTATTAGTGCCATATCTTCTTCTTGTAGTGCCTATCCGTTTTGGATGTTGGCGACCATCATGGCAATCTGTATTTTGGAAACTGCTGCTCTGAAAAGATTTGTGGTTGTTGTGTTGAACCACGTACATAGATTTTTCAGCCAGGAAATCCTTCGCCTTCCTGTTCCTCGTTTCCCTTCTATTTTTCCTTGAATAATTAATTGCAGCATCCCATATATTTAGCTGTTCCTCATGATGTGACTGAGGTATTCAATTTTGCCTGTTTTTATTGAGGTTAATTACTCTTTTCCTTTTTACATTCTCAATAAAACGTTCTGGTTAATAACGTGGTCGATATCCTGATTCGAAGATAAAACCACATTTCGATAGCCTCAATTTTCTTCCAGGTAGCGCCTGTGAGAGTCCCTGACTTAACTTCGTATAACAGAATAGGAAAGATTGAACATTATAGTAACCTGATTTGTATGGGTACTGATAAATCATGGCATTGCATTTGAATAGCTTAGCCATTTCTTGAAATGCAGATCTTGCTTTCTCTGTCCTACATTTTATTTCTAGGGAATGAGCAGTATTAGTGTTTATTGTTTGCCAAAAATGCCTTTGACTGTTGTTGAAACGGCAACTCGCAAGAACTGTTGATGTAAGCCTTTCTACGATTCAACGAGTGCTTCAATGATTTCAGGAGACGGGTTTGCTAACCAGACGACCTGACACTGGACGAAGAAAAACGACCACCGCACGAGATGACCGATTCCTTGTGTTTAGGCTTTATGAAACCGGACCTCAACTGCGGGTATGCATCGAAATCTTCTACAGGAAGTACGAAATCGCAATATTAGCGTTGCAACAGTCAGGAGAAGACTTCGTTCTTCTGGACTATCTTCTCGGGTAATGGCTTCCGGCGACTTCACCGGGTACATCGAGTTGCACGACTAGCTTTTGCTCGATAATACGTGCATTGGAGAATTAACGATTAGAGAAAAGTGTTATTTTCAGATGAATCCTGTTTCCGCCTAACTGGATCCGATGGACGTGTAAGAATTTTTAGGAGAACCGGTGAACAATTTTTATAAGCTTGCATTGCTCCAAGAATGCCATTTGGTGGAGGCTTGGTCAAAGCGTGGAGAGGTGTATCTTCCGACTTCCACACAGAATTACCCTTCATCGAAAATGTGTCCTTAACTGCACGAAGGTACATTAAGGAGATTCTGGAAGAAATGTTATGCCCACCATGGCAGAACTTAAAAAAGGGGCCGTTTTTATGCAGGACAACGCGCACGTTGCCAGGATCAGTATGCAATACTTGGACGAGGTTGGAATTACGAGGTTACCCTGGCCAACTAGGTCTCCGGACCCGAATCCCATCGAACATCTCTGAACTGGGACGATTTGAAAAAACGTATTCAAACCCATACACCTCCTCCTAACAAAGAACAGGAGCTTAAGGATCTATTAGTGAGCGAGTGGAATAAACATACCACATTGTGTAATCTGGAGAAAAATTGAGAGAATATCCCATCGTCTGCAAGAAGTTATTAGAGCAAGGGGAGGCAATACACGATATTAGTCATTGAAATTTCACTGATTCTTTACCACATTCTGTATTTTCCATTTTTTTCGTATGTCTGTTTTATAACAATTTGGTTTGTTTTCTGCTTTTTCAATAAAACAATAAAAAACCGTTTTTTTTTTTCTTTCACAACAAACATTGAAGACAAATAAAAAATACATTATAACAAATACATTTTCAAGGTGACCTGGATTTTATGATCGCGAGTGTACTATTAAAATTGGAAAATTGCAATATCTGGGAAATGTCATGAGGGGCTAGCATTATAACTTGCTGCAATTAATAATACAAGAAAGAATAGAGGGTAAATTTAGAGCACAAAAAAAGAAAGCAAGGGAATTCATGCCATATTGATATGTAATACACAAAGTGTTTCATATGTTATAGACCTAACAATGATAAAGAGAAACCTAGGAAAATTTGAACTTATAAAGCCCACCATCAAGCAGAAAAATTATTGACAATCCAACCATAAAATAGAGTCTCACATTAGAGCAGTCAACATGACCTGGGAAAAATGGTATATATTATATGAGGCTTGTTTAATTGAATAACATCTATGACACAGAAAATAATGATTGGCAAATATATCCACAAATAATTACCACTACAATTCGCATTGTTTTAGTAACTAATGTTTACCCTACTTAAATAATTATTGCGGCTGTTGCTTAAAGAATTCTTTTACAGTATTGTGTACTTCTTCATCTGAGTCAAAACTATTACCTTTGAACGCCTTTTTCAGTGGTCCAAAGATGTGAAAATCGCAAGGCAATAAATCGGGGCTATAGGGTGGACGCTCTAATAATCTCTATTTCTTTGACTACTTTGGTAATATGAGGCCGAACATTGTTGTGCAGAAAAATTACATGATATGAGAGATTCCCTGGATGTCTTCATCTTATTGCTTGATGGAGCCTGTTCAAGGTTTCATTATACAGGATTGCGTTGATATTTATGCTAGGTTCTTAAAACTCTATGAGCAAGGGTAATTCATGGTTAAAAAAAAATGTTTTTTACCACACACTGATTAAATTTGGACGGGTTATTAACAACAAACGTCATTTTTAAGTCAATACTTAAAATCGCATTAAAATACAAATGATAGGAATTGATGAGTGTGATGTTTACAAATATAACTAACATTGCAGAACATCAGTTAAGTGATTACAATTATTTCCAAGGTTAACCTGATCAAAAATGAGTTTCAACTGAACAAGCATATATATTACAAAGGCAGATGTGTGTGAGTTGTAGTAGAAGTTAAGGATAGTTGATAGAAATATAATATATATAATAATTCACGACCTAAAAATTAGATGATGAGAAATGATAAAAGGTAAATAAATGTACATAAGTGTATAAATGTACAATGAATACCTACAAAAATAGGCTAATAAAAATGAAAAAACCTTTAAAGAGCAGCAAAGATTCTTCTTTGCTTACTTACTTATTCTCATACCTTCTAGCGAACAATCTTTAAAATTAACTTTTAGATTATACTAACCTGTATGGGATTCAGTCCTGCGTTTTCAGACAAGGTAAATGGTATAATCTCTAAGGCATTAGCATAGGCCCTTGTACAAATAGCATCAATGCCGTCCAGTTTGTTGGCCATGGCAGCTAGTTTAAGAGCCACCTCAATCTCAGGTGCTCCTCCACCGGCAATAAGTGCCTTCTTGCGAACAAGGCAACGAATTACACATAGAGCATCATGAAGAGATCTATCAGCCTCTTCAAGAACCAATTTGTTGGATCCTCTAACCAGTAGAGTTACTGTCCTGCCTGCATTTTGTGCACCTGGAAGAGTATTGTGATAGATAATGTTAATAAATCATGAAATGTGACACATTTTAAACTTTTGAAGTGTGAAATAATACAATTTATGAAAATTAATATTGATTTTGTTGTTATAAACTTAATCTTTTTCCTGTCTATCTATAAGCAGTTATGTTTGTTCATTGGTGGATTGATGCATCTATAAATTTTTCTATTGAATAATCAGCCATACATCTTTTACTGTTTGTTAATTTTTCCCTTACTATCTTATTATTATTGTTGACAAGTATTATTGGACTAAAGTATTTATATTTTCTATTCATTCTATCTATTTGAAATCATTTATTTGCATAGAAAGCAAAACCTAGGCGTTAATACTACCTATGTTGATAAATTTAGTCATGTTTCATTAACATCGTCAACTGTTTGTAACCACTTGTTATTAATCTTTTCATTATAAAGACTAGAATCTGAATACAATAATAATAAACAATACAAACCTGTAATTTTGACCATTCTATTTCCTGCCACTCCAACCTCTTCAACTAAATCAGCTGTAACCAAGTTTTCAGCAACAAAATGATCTAAAGATGCAATAGGACGACATCCTAAAGATTTACATACAAATTCGACATCTTCTCTTTCAATATCTTTAATAACCATACACTTGATTTTATCCAAAAAGTGTAAGGCAAGATCCGAAACTGCATCCCTCAAAATTGATTTTTGAACCTACAATGGAATGTCAATAAATATATGTTAAATTTTCTGACACAGCGTAAATGCCTAAATTACTGTTACAACTAAAAGATTATAAACAATTGAAATGATTAACAATAATAGCGAAACATATAAAACTAATTTTAATAGTTGCCAATAGACACAAATAGAAAGAGCTAGACAAGAAAGAATGAAAAGTTAAACAGGTATAGTAAATATTAAGTAATCGGCAATAATTATAAAAATGAGAATTAGAAAGATGTATAAAAATTATTGTTTTTGAAAAAATGGAGTTATGGAACAAACTCAAAAAATTAATAAACTGCAAAAATAAATACTATAAACTATAGAATAAAAATACTATGATTCAGGAAAGTGAAAAATATCAAAAATTGCGATGTTACAGTTACATATGCCACCTTTGACTTGCTTAAGTTCTATTTTTTGTACATGTATTTTTCTGTGTTCTGATATTAGTGTGGATTGTCTTGCAGCAGTTCTTTGTAATATGTTTCCCATTCTTCTCCCGTCATTAATTTGTAAGCTAGATATTTTGTTGTCTTTTTTAGTGTTACCTATATACTTCCATGCTTTTGTGCATCTTGGTTCCCCTAAGTGTTTTTGAAGTTCCATAAACTTTTTGTCAAATGGTTCTCTCTTATTTTTTAATATCATTTTATTGACGAAGTTCCTTTGTCTATGATATTCCTGTCTAGCTTCTCCATTTTTATATGCAGCCATTTTTGGTGTCCTTCCTTTCTTAGTTTCACTTTAAGTTTTTCCCAACACTTCCCATATTGCCCCATGTATCAATTCTTTGATGTGTTCATTCATTTCTTCAATGTATTCATATACATGCTCCTTTATTTTTTGGACTAATCATGCTTGATTAACTATTCTGTTATCTTGTTGAAGGAGAGATAAGTTGTTTGAATTGTAATAAGATAAAAATAAAGATTCGCTTTTAACAGGTGATGCACATTCTGCTCCTCCACATACTCTTCTTTATGTTTATAAAAGCTGTTCAATATCAATCAATTAGGAAATCAAATATTGTAAAATAAAAAATGACTTCAAGAGTATCATAACTTACCACAATTTTTAATACTATAAGACATTACTTACCAAAAGTACATTACATCCAGCTTTTTTTATCTGCTTGACGATATTTAAAATATATGCTCTCTCTTCTTTTAATACTCTATCCATAGCAGCATAATCAGACACAATGACATTGTGATCCATATCTGTTTTTGGGGGTGAAATACAGAACTGGATAAAACCAATTTTAGCTTTCTCAATCCTTTTTGGTCCAGACACATTTGCAGATCTTTGTGGGAAAGTAATTCCTTCCACTAATTCAGTATCTTCTACTGTTCCTCCCAGTTGCTTAATAACTTTGATATCTGATAAATTACAAGCTTGTTCCCTACCTAAAATAAAAGAGTTTATCTATGAACAGATCATTCAAGTATACAATTATTGTCTTTAATCATTGACTTGGTTACTATATATTGTTTATTATTTAGTAATTAGTACTAGTGATGAGAAGGTCATGAATGATCCTTTCACAAAGATCTGATCTTTTCGAAGACCTGTGATTGATATAATCACATTACGATGCCTATGAATGATGCTGTCTAGTGTTTACGAAACGAACTGTGTGATGGCGACACACTGCTCAGTCAAATTAATGCATGAACCGCGCACCGCAAAGGTTTAAACACTGATTTCAGTTTCCCAGAACGGCGAAACACTTATGCTGCAGTGGCATATACTGCTCTGATGAGACCTAAAGAGGTCAAAAGACGTCTAAGTGGCTTGCTGCTGCCCTGTATCAAAACAAAAATCTAATACCGTCATTATGTTTTAAAATAAAAGATTAAATACAACAATAATACAAAGTATTGGGTTATACAGCACTAAACTCTGAAAATAAATCAATGAAACAAATAAAAAATTAAGCCCATAGAAATAAACTATTGGAGACTATGTTGCAGGCTCATTAGACTAGATGGGATGAGGAACGAAGATATTTAAAGATAAATCAAAGTTAATTTAGACATATTTGACACAATTGAAGAAAAAAGACTAAACTGTCTTTCTACAGAAAATACTGGAAATTGGGATGCGAGAAATAGCACCAGCTGTAGGAAACTCGCCATGAATTAGGAAAGTACATAAATCTTTTTAATGTAGTTCTCATGTAAATTGCATGTTTCTTAAATTTTAAACATGACGATATCCATATAATTTACTTCTTTTGAGTAATAAAGTGTTAAGCATTTCTGTGTATACATTCAATGATGATATTCATGTCTGTTAAATAGTTAAGATTAAATTTGTCTGTTTCTAGAGGCCTTGTTAAAAGTTTATTTCTTAATTTGTAATCTGTAATGGAATTTTGAATACCAACAAGTTTGAATTTTTTAATTTCTTCTGTAGGATTTTAAAAATAATAATATGTTTATCTTTGCTCTTCATTCTCCCAATAAGTACTTTAAATGACCCATGTGCTTTATTTTCCAAAATATTTTGAAGATTCAAGAAGAGTCTACATTTCAGATTCTTTAAACTCAATCTTTTAAATCGGTCTTTAAATACCATGTAGCCCACAGCTTTAGAGACAATAGAACTTATATTTTCCTGTTTGGTAAGTTTTTATCTTGCATATTTAGAAACATATAGGTATTTATGGCAAAAATTACTATTACTAAAATTAATAGAAGTTAGAAAATATTCACATTGAAATTTCCTATCATGTGCTTGTGTAATTAGTAAAAAGAAATTTTTCAAAACTATGCTACACATAAAAATGTGATGTCTTTTGTCGTTTTTGCATAGTTTTACAATAGAGCTCTGTCCTGAAAATTTTAAAGGCTGGTTTATAAACTTTGCGTTGGCATTGGCGCTGGCGTTCGCCGTTAACCTTGGCGCTAGCTATCATACACTGCATTTATAAACTTTCGGTTGGCGTTGGCGTTAAAGATCACATCTTAATTTCTTGTCTTACATTTTTGATTTGGTATTATTAATTTTTGCTTGAAAATTAATACAATGGAAAATGCTCAGCCTTTGTTAGGTGCAGTGGCACTGATACTTTGTATTCGAGCAGCACTGAGCCTTCGAAATAAAAGACAATGTTGATACAAACTGAGGCCCATTAACCAGAACAGAAAGACAAGAGGTAATTTTAATTATTATAAAAATATGAAAACTGGGATAAGTTTATTATCTAAACTTTTCCACTTTATAAACACGTGGAAACATAAACAAATAATTTTGTTTGATTTGTTTGACAAACTTTGTCACTTTTTCGATATTGCTATTGGCTGTGATGACAAAGATACAGTTTTATTTTATGTTCTGAGATCAATACTACAACCACAGAAGGGTTTGTGTATTCTGTGCTACAACGGCCAACAGCAAAAGATAAAGTTGGTTCATCTTGAACGGAACCTAACGCCGACGCCAACGGCGAACGATGTTTATAAATGGACATACGAGTTTTCCATTTGACCATGTTGTAACGCGAACGTCAGCGCCAGCGCCAACGTAAAGTTTATAAATCAGCCTTAAAAATATCAAAACTTTGCTAAAAATTCTTTGTGGCAGTTGAATGTTGACAAGAATATTGACTTTTCTTACAAAAAATAGAAACCTTAAGATAATTCTTTAGAAGCAACACATTTACAGATTTGGAAAAACTTATGTTTCTACATACAACCAAAAGATTATGTTTTAAATTCTACATTCAGATATGGTGCAATGTAACAAAAACATTAATGTAAAAAGCTTTAATTGAATTTCATATGCATCCTCAATTTTTACTTACCAGGTTCAACAATTTTAAGAACTGCATCTACAGCAAGTGGACCCAAAAGGCTTGAATGTTGGGAAACAACTTTTGAGTTTAGGGAAGTGGAGGCACTTTTAATCAACAATTCTCTGTTAGTAATTTCAATTGGAGTGGAAATGTCTGATAAAATCTACAAAATAAAAAAAAAAGATAAAAGTAGTTATTAAATAGCATAGGGTAAATAGATTTATTTAAGTTGTAAAGTCACTGTAAAATAAAGCACTTTATGATTTTTTGTGGAAGAAAAACTAATAGAATAATATTTAAAGGTGTACAATATTTAATAATTTTTCCTTCTTTTCAAAAGAAAATATTTGTTCAATAATAGTAAATAATTGTTATACAAGACTGCGGACCCTTTTACAAAACCTGTGTTTTATGAAAAATAAGTTTTCCTCTAATTTACAATGAATGCTCTATATTAAAAATTAAGAAATTTTGGCAATATTAGTTTTTAAGTGATTGGCAAGCATTTGAAATAAACAGTTTAATTTGAAGAAATATGATAAACTGATAATCAATCATTAGTTAAGTATAAGTATAATCGAAACTTGAAACAACGAAATTTGAAGTACCTAAATAGTAAATTTTTTTATAATAAAAAAAAAATTTAAGAATAAATGGATGTTTGCTCATGCCTCAAGAGAAAAAGCAAATAATAAAAGATTACTGGTCTTAAGATATAATAATTCAGACTCCTAGATTTGGTTAAATAATAACAAAAGTGAGATTTTTAGAAATTTTACAATTCTTTCATTTGTCACACAACCCCAAAGATATCAAAATAGATAACCATTCAAGATTAGGTGCTTCATCGATAATTATCGAGAAGTATTTAAAAAATCTATGTATCCCTTTCAAATCCTCATATGGTGAAAGTCTTATGCTTTTCAAAGAAATGATATCTTTTTATCAATACATTCCTTCAAAGAAGCATCAATTTGGGATAAAAATTTTCATTATTGTCAACTATCAAATGGCTATATATTTGACCATTTTATATACACAGGTGCTACTACTTCCCTGCTTCAGACAACACAGTAATGACTCTTCTTTTCTGAAGGTACCTTCTTCTTTCAAAGGATGCCAATTATTTTGATTATTTAAAATATGTTCATTGCTGCTCTAAGGAGCTGGTTAGGCGAGCTTCTCTCACATTTCGCTTTCCTAAAAATCTTTCCCTAGATGATATTCCACAGAAAATGGGATTTTGTTCCTCCCATCATGTGACCAAGGTATTGCAGCTTTCATATATTTATTTCCTAACTTAGTTCTGTTCTTTTGAAAGTCTTCACAAAACTCATATATGTAAGGATATTCTCAGGATTCTTTTGTACAGCAAAATCTCGAAAACCTCCACTTTCAGAGTGACAATTATAGGAGAATAACAAATATTTTACTTACTTCAACGGCCAACTGTGCTGCTCTTTGGAAAGATTCAGATATTGCTGTTGGGTGAATTCCCCTTTGTAATAACTTTTCTGCAGCATCCAGCAAAGCTCCTGCAATTACAACAACAGAAGTGGTACCATCTCCTGCTTCAATGTCTTGGGCTCTTGATAATTCTACCAACTAGAAAATAATGTAGGTTGTACTATAAAAGTAAGCACAAAACCCAAAAATACCAACCATTTTAGCAGCAGGGTGTATGACATTTATTTGCTTTAAGATTGTAGCTCCATCATTGGTAATTGTCACTTCACCATTTCCAGCCTGGATCTAAAATAGAAGAGTTTTTGTTAGACAACTCTTTATTTAATCATATTGGATTACATACCATTTTATCCATTCCTCTAGGACCAAGACTTGTACGAATAGCATCGCAAACAGCTGAAAGTTTTGATCAATTTTTAAGATGTGACAGTACTTTTATTAAAGAAACAATGCATGTAATCAATAGAAGGGCCACAAAATAGTTTAAGAGTTATGTTTGCCGTACTATTATATTACATTTTTAAATACAAACCTTTTGCGGCGTTAATATTACTGGTCCTAACATCAGCGGGTTTACTTTTGTCCTTATATGCCACAGTTCTTCCTCTATTTGTGTCACCACCGGCTGCAGGGGCAGTCATATTTGATTTTATTATTATTTTTTATTTAAAACAGATATTACTTAAAAGGATGTTTACAGATTAAATTGTTGAAAATTTCACTCCCTAAAATTGGATTATTTTGGTGCTGTCAAACGTCTAAAGAGCATGACTCATTCAGAATTGCCAAATTAAGATTTAATGTCACTACAAAAAAATATATTTTAAAATGTTTAGATTTAATTTTTTGTCTATTTTAATTTAACTATTTTTAAGATCTTTATCAATAAAGTATATATATTAATAAATTACAAGATTTAGAAGATAATACCTATGATAAATAGTATTTAATGATTTATAATGATGGTTGCCTAATAAGTGGTTAGGAGGCTCTGGTAAAATTTTTATGGATGTGTGTTATAAAGTGTGTGTGTGTGGTTGAAGAAGATTTATCGAAGAAAGACATTGAATAGTTCTCAAAAAAAGACAATCATTCGTTTAAATAAAATTAAAATAACTGTGAGTCAATTTATTTTCCAAACGGAAAAAACAAAACTCAGAAAGAAGTCTATTTCGAGCTTATAGCAACATCTTATAGCAAAATTCTTGGAATAAGGAAAAGACAGAGAAATCCAGGACCTAGGCTAAAATAACAGCGGCTGGCCACGTATATTCTTTTTCTTATTTCATTTCTTTAGATGTGTTGTTTAGTCAACCAGTGGCCCTAAGTAGCAGAACTCTCCCACCGTTTCTATCGTATTGGATCTGTTAGTGATTTTGTTGCATTCTTGATATAGCCGGCATATATTTAGTTTTCTGGGAATTAATCGGAAGTCCAATGTTTTACCGGTTCCACCAACGTGATCTAAGTAAAATCTTATTCAATTATAAATTCAATAAAATCTTATCTCAATTCCGAATGATCAGCTTATTGAGCCAGGTCGTAAAACTCTTCTTAAAGATAATTCACACAACAATATACAACAGATGTGAAAGAGACATTAGTCCAACACAGTTCGGTTTCAGACAAGGATTTGGCACAAGAGAAGCACTTTATAGCTAACTGTCCTACTTCAGAAATGCAGAGATCAGCAAAAGATGTCTTCCTATGCTCTATATATTACCAGAAAGCGTTCGATTATGTTAATCATTCAGAATTAGTACGATTGCTCCAGGAACGTTCGATAGATGAGAATGACTTTTAAATCATAAAGAACCTTTATATGAATCAAGTGGCATGTGTGAGAGTAGGACTGGACTCTACATCATATTTCTCAATCGAAAAAGGTGTACGACAGGGTTGTGTTCTGTCACCCCTCCTTTTTACTCTTTACTCTGAAACGATTTTCGATAGAGCCTTAAGTGACACGGAAGATGGAATCAAAATCAACGGACAGACTATTAGTAATCTTCCCTATGCTGATGATACAGTCATAATAGCTGTTAGCCAAGAAGCGCTACAACGACTAATAGATAAAATAAACACGAAATATGCAATTAAATATAAGAGTAAACAATAAGTACATCCAAAAGGTCTCCAAGTTCAGATATCTCGGTAGTTGGATAACTGAAGATATAGATCCAGACATAGAGATACGTAACAGGATTGAGCAAGCCAGAACAGCATTTACTAATATGAAAACCTTGCTAAGCAATAGCAGCCTTAACTTAATGCTTCGATATCGCTTTGTAAAATGTTACATTTACTCTATACTGCTATATGGTGTAGAAACCTGGACCATAAAGGCCAATGTGATTTACCGATTGGAGGCCTTTGAAATGTGGGTATTTAGAAGACTATTTAAAATTCCCTGGACAGATCACAAAACAAATATCGAAGTATTAAATCGAATGGGCAGAGAACGAGAATTGCTGTTAATAATAAAAAGAAGAAAAACTGCTTATCTGGGTCATATATTTCGAAATTCCAAGTACCAGTTGTTAAAGCTTATTATGGAAGGGAAGGTAGAAGGAAAACGGGGCATCGGAAGAAAGAAATACTCATGGCTTAAAAACAGGGATTGGACAAACCTCGATGCCCATGCACTCTTTAGAGCCACACAAGATCAAGAGGAGTATGCCAGAACTGTCGCCAACATCCACTATTTGGATATAGCACCATAAGAAGAAGCAATTTTTAAGCAAAATTTAAAAAATATATATATTTTTATACTCGGTATTTGATACTAACATATTTCGGTAGACTTCAAATATCGTGTGCAAGAAAGAACAAAGTGATCTTCTTCGGTTGGGCGTATTTGATTATTTGAAAATTAAGTATAATTAGAAACCGTAAAAATAATCAAATGTCACCACTATGATAGCAATCAACGTAAAAGTATATGAACATGCTCTATATTTTTCTGAAACTGTCGTTAATAATGGCTCTTTTTGTGAATAAAATACCGATTCGCTTCGTAAATTCATTGCATAAAATGATTCTTATGTCTTTTTATCTATGTTAACACGCAACGATGCATGTTGTACTGATTTCTCTACTAAGTTTGGATGTCAGTAACATTCAATCCAGTCAAAATGAATAATATTGTCGGTTCTGTGGTCGTGATATTCCTGTTATCTGGTTATTCTACTAGTTTAAACTGCAAAAGATATTCGTATCAAGCAGTTGCTACTAATTGTATAGAGGATATTATATTCAATCAATTTACCAAAAAAAGGGAGGAAACTACTGCTCTGATTATCATAGTTATAGATAATTATCTTAAATCTCCTGCAGCAGAAATACAAAATAATGTTGTAAAAAATATACACAGTAAAAATAAGTTATTTACAATAAAAATTATATCATTATCTACTATTTTAAAGTCAAGTTACAAAGGCTACGAGATATCTTACTATTTACTGTTTCTTGATGAAAATTCTCGATTCGACAAGATAGTGAAAAAGTTTGACAGAGGTGAGATGTACAATGCACGCGCTAAAATGTTGCTATATATTGAATTAGATCAGATGAAACAGGAGGATGTGGTGTACAAAATTCTTCTATATTTTTCGAAAAACTCCTTTTTTAAGTCAACTGTTTTAACTCATTCACAAGAACACAGTTTTAATTTATATACACTAAATATCACAGGCAAACCGAACCAAGTGTGCGGAGTTAATCCCGAATTGTACGTTGTAGACCAATGTTTCAACGGTTAGTTCAATTTTATATATAGGTAAGTCCGGGAGAGATCGACCACATTTTTAAAGAACTTCTTTTGGTTCCTGAGATAAATATTTTTCTGACTTTCGAAGCATTATCCAAAGGTTTAGGATAGTTTATATAAGAAACTTTGATATAATGTGAACACGCATTTTTACTTTAAATTCAAAGTTCAAACATTGTATGGTCGATCTCACCCGCATGTCCGGGTTAGAATGACCACCAACTTATAGACCGGGAGAGACTGAGTTCAAAAAGTAACAAAACAGTAAATAGCAAAACATGTGAGAACAGTATAATTCTAGAAGCTTCTTCTTCTACTTCTTGGAGATTTTCGATCTGTTTAATTCTGAAGCTGCCTCTGGTTAATTTCCTGAGAGGTAGATTGACAACTATCCCTCCATCTTTTAGGTGGTCTTCCGGAAGGTCTTGAACCGGACGGTTTGTTTTCTAGGGAGTCTATTCTCATTAATTCGTCTTACACGATTGTACCACATCCTCTTATACTGCCTTTCCTATCTTACAATATCTTAAATTTTGCACTGCTCTCTAACGGATGTATTTCTCACTCTGTCTCTTCTTGTTTTGCCCACTATTGTTCTTAGGGTTTTCATTTCGGCAACCCTTAGCATCTGTTTTGTTTTGTTGGTATCTTCGCCATATGTCATTATCAGTTGTATGCAAGTCTTGTAGATTCTAATTTTACTATCTGTGCGCATATACGGATTGACCAGACTATCTGCCGCAGACATCCTGACAATGCGGATTGACAATGCTTTGAGGTGAAGGTGGAGGTGAAGGTAACAACGACGATACCATGGTAATAGGGCCCAATGGGGCCAACTTATTTCCAAGGAGATACTCAACCCACCCATCTAGACATAGTAGTAGCTAAAAACCCAGGACTACAGACAGATATCCGAACGTTAAACGAAGGATCAGCAGACCACAGCCCCATATTACTAGAAATAGGAACATGGGAAGAAAACAGCACAACAACCAAGAATAAGCAAGAAAACAAAGTGCTCAAATTACAAAAGACTTGTGAGTATTGGAATCAACAACACCCCAGTCATCAACAAGAAATAGAAGAAAAAGTCCTAGAGTTCGAAAATATCATCCAAGAAGCTCTAAGAAACAGCACTACTGAAGAAGAGTTAGAAATACACATGGAAAGGTTTAGAGATATAAACCAGGAAACAAAAGACATGATTAGTGAAAAAATAGAGCCAAAAAGAGAGCCAGAAGAACAAGATACCAGGAAGACAAAAACAGAGCAACCCGTCTAAACAGAGAGGTGAAGACAGCATTGGCAGAACACAGAAGCCGAAGGTGGGACAACTACGTACAAGAAATGGATGAACAGGGTCCAAATATGCAAAATATTTGGAAAATTCAAAGAACATTAAGTAACGACACAAAACCTATCCCTATTGGCATCGTCTACACCATTGAAGCTAAAGCCGAGGTGATGAGGAGGACTCTTGAGAGAGAGAGAGAGAGAGAGAGAGAGAGAGAGAGAGAGAGAGAGAGAGAGAGAGAGAGAGAGAGAGAGTACACTAAATGATCACCGAGACGAAGACGTAGACTTCATTGAAGACGTCGAAAAATACCAAGATATGCTCGAAGAAGCAGACGAGATAATTACACTCACATTTCCACAAGAAATATACGAACTAATAAAAAATAGTTCACCGAAGAAGCACCTAGTCTAGATGAAATTTCAAACAGAGCTCTAAAATATATGCAAGTGAAAACAATTATATTTTTAACAAACATCACAAATGCGATACTCAGATACAGGCTCTTCCCAAACTTTCTTGTAGAAAGAGTCATACTAAGCAGATTACAGTCAGAAACAGACAGGTTAAGAATAGTCCCAGAAGCTCAGTTTGGATACCGAGCTCCAGCGAACTACAAGTACTCAGACTAAGAGAGTACATAACAGATGAATTCAACGACAACGAGTATACAGGAACAGCCTTCCTGGACGTAAGCAAAG